ATTGGAAGGTTTCTAGGGATTAAGATATCTCCGCCGGAACCCCCCCACGTTCTTGCAAGCTGGCTTGTTGGCAGTGGTCTGATGCCGTGCTCTGCCAGTGTTAAATTGGCTCAAGCCGTGATCTGCGACCGGATGGAAATTGGCTGCCCTCCAGGTCACCCCGCCACAAAATTGCTTTGAAGTGGAGCAGATTCTAGGCCCAATAACCAACGGCTTGTCTTCGCGGGCGATTCTTTGATTGAGGATTCCAAGGTTATATTCACGTGATTCACTCTCATCCATTTCAACATCACACATCTCGGCTCCTGCAAGATAAAGTAGATCATGGATGTCAAGCATCATGCTACGAGTAGTTTTCGGTGGTGATTTGGTTTCTCACTAATTCGGCAATGTACTAGGAGTAAAAACTGTGGAGAATGAGGTAGTTATCGTGTCAATGTCAGCTGTGCTCACGTCTGATCCCATACTTTGATCTTCAATATGCTGCCCAAGACTTGTACCAAAACTAGGTTTCCCTCATAGCTGAAATATGCATGAGAAGGAATGAGTGTGCGTGGTTAGCAGTGCCGCACTCGTATTACAATACTGCGCGCACCCCACCTGGCGGTGAGGGTGCGCGTCACAATTAGAACAATTGTCAGAATTAGAACAAATTCACACAACCAGCCTTCGTGAAGCTATTACCATCCACCATTATGCCGTATCGACCCAAAATTGACGAATCTCGTGTGGCTGAGGCTTGCGAAGCCGCCAGTCTCCTTGAAAACCCGAATTTGTCGCAAATCGCGAGGCAATATGGTGTTTCATATGGGGTATTGCGGGGACGCATCCGCCAGGGTAAACAGCCTCGTACAGCACCAAAACCTGAAAATCGAGCTCTTGATAATACTCAGGAGGAAGCCTTGATTCTGTGGATTGTGGAATTGAACAAATATCATATGCCAGTAACCCCGGCGTTGCTCCATGAGATGGCGCAGCTCTCGTTAGTTCGCGCAGGCTCAGATCATATCTTAGGCGATCGCTGGGCTTATCGCTTTATTAAGCGTTTGCCAGAGGATGTGAAACTATCGCCAGTGAAGCAGAGAACGAAGGAGTATAAGCGTATTAAGGCAGAGGACGCATGGAAGCTCGATGTGTGGTATATGAAGCTGAAAAATGTGATCAAAAAGAATACCCCAGCACGGTTGGTATACAACTTTGACGAATGTGGTTTCCAACCAGGAAAAGGCAAGAATCGAAAAGTGTTAGGGCAGGAAGGAGGGCCTGATCTTGGAGAAAACGAGCATTCAGAGACTATTACTGCTCTAGAGTGTATTGCTGCAGATGGTTGGTTTATGGACCCGTTGTTCGTTTTTAAAGGTACCACCTTCCAAGAAGTTTGGTATGACAACAGCGAGGGCCTTCCACCACGTACACTTACAGCAGTCTCTCCAAATGGCTGGATTTCTGATGAACTACTTCTTGAGTGGCTTGGTCACTTCCAGGAAGCAACAAAAGAGCGAGTAGAACCTAATGAGAAGCGTATTATGATCTTTGATGGTCATAACTCTCATCTTACGGTTGAATTCCTCGAAAAATGTCAGGAATATGAGATTTTACCAATCGCATTTGAGCCTCATACAACTCATATATCTCAGCCTCTTGATGGCAAGCCTTTTTTGGCTTATAAACAGCATTTCAAGGTGGTTAATAATGAGATGTCGTACTTTGCAGGTATGCCGGCTGGTAAATCAGAGTTCTTAAGAGTCATCACCAGAGTACGCGCCCGTACTTTCAACACTCGAATTATCCGAGATTCGTTTAAAGAACGTGGTATTTTCCCAGTCAATGGCAAAGATATTGTTAAGAAGCTTCGTATGAAGCTTCCAATAAGTTCTGAGGACCTTGATATCGATACATCTCAGCTACGACTACACGGAGAAGAGCATACACCACCTCCTCCTGAACCTGGATCATCCAGTATTGAGAATTCACCTCCAAAATCAATACAAGCTGCCAAAAGGAATCATCGGAAGCTGGAGAAGCTATTCAGAAAAGAGAGAATATCCCCAAAGCTTCAGCGAGGGTTAAATCGAGTTCTGAAACATCAGGGTGTTATCATAGAACACGCAGCATTAACCAAAGATATTGTTCGTCGTATATCAGCTGCACGTCGTCCTCTACAACGCCAGTTTCACAAGCGACAGGTAAAGCCACTCTCTGGCTCTAATATACTGAGTGTACGTGATGCCAACTACTCAATTAAAGCCAGAAAGGAGAAGGAAGCAACAAAGGTCGCAAAACAAGCTGCAAAACGAATAGGCCACAAGCTCAACCAACCAACAGCAACAGAGGTTTCACAGGCAAAGCAGGCATCATTAGATGCGGAAAAAGCTGCCCGAGAGGGTGGATTACTTTTTTGGTTCGATTCAAATCCAGTGCGTTGAAAAACGTTGTAAATAGTTTCAATTTGTTCTAATTCTGACAATTGTTCTAATTGTGACGCGCACCCTCACCGCCAGGTGGGGTGCGCGCAGTATTGTAATACGAGTGCGGCACTGCTATCTGCAACGCCTCTGGTCAAGTTCTTGATCTGGACTTCGAGGAAGGGCTGAAAAATGGCCCAGCAACACCAGTGTGCCCGTTGAGCTACGCAAGCCACTACATCGGTGGTGAGACCTCAGCCACGAACTGTGGACTTTGTGCTGAAGTGGCTCAGGATACCTGCATATGCCGGGGTGTACGAGCCAATGATTGTCCTCGGAGCCTCGGTGGTTTGAGCGACCTGCATATAAATACGTCAACTTTTTTTCCAAAGGTACAAACAGATGCAGTTTCAGGAAATGAATTGCACGTTGGCAAAGTATCTGTTCAAAGGTATGGACCGGCGATTCCGTCGTCGGCTTTTATTTCTCACAAGGTGGGGAGGCTTCGTGGCTCTGCAGCATCGTGAATAATGGTTAGTGCTGCCGCGCCTGTTTAGTCCGGGACAAAAAACGGACTTCGCCGAGTGCAAGTATCCGCAGGTATGAAAGATAAGTTTTGGTGAATGGATAGCGAGGATATTTAAGAAGGCAAGGCCTGCTACTTTAAAGAGTCATAGAAATAATTTGAACCTATATAACGCCCCGCCTTCATAATGATTTCCAAGATAGCGCCCGTGGTGGAGCCGAGTTTGCTCGACATCTATTTGGCATGGAGCGATGCGTGGCTCTTGTTTGATGACAATAGCAAGCAAGATTCCGCTTCTCATACTTTGAGTCTTCATGATCTTGCGATGTTATTCGATGAAGGTAAAATCGATCGACTCATTCACTACGACCAGCTCATCTTGGCCATTTCTTCATTCAAACACCATATGACACTTGGTAACATCAGCTTTGGAGGATCTCATCCACCATCATGCGATGAAACCAATCTTGCTTCCCAAACATACAACCCCCAGTCAAAATGTGACTGCGAAACGACGGACATAATCAAACTTAAAAAGGGTCTTCCCATCAATCCACGAGACAATATATGCGAAGCGATTTCCAGTATGAAATCATCAATGGAAATAGTCATCGCACATCAGAGCGAATGGCATAGCACCGGTCTTTTCACAATTAAGAAGCTTCGACATGCCGTGGAAGAATTGATACACGCCAATATGGACATTCAAACCACGCCAGACACATGCCGCGGCCGTCGAACAGCAAATTCCATAACCGAGATTCGAGCACCCGACCGCCGGCCCAATACCAAGGTTGATGGGAATGCGACAATCGGGAATCAGATATACCCGACCCATGAACAAATAAAGATCTGCGCCGATGCAAAGTACTTTGGTGTCATGGCCTGCGGGGCAGGAATTTGCGATGAGGGACTGGCGCGAGCGGTCGCTGATTCCTGTAATGATATTTTGATCGGCGACTATTGCGAAGCTGCAGATGCGGCTGGTTTGCTTTTGCTTCAGCGTGTTGGTGCTGGTGCAATGGCGTTTTTGAAGCTATGCAATTTAGCGGGGCGCGTGACAGATTGGCAATTCGATAACTTGTCTGCCTATATGATTCAATGTCGCATTCTAGGACATTTCCGTGATCATTCGAGGAACAAGCTTCCAGACGGAATATATGGAAGCAGGATGACTGGTCTTGGTATCCATCGCCATATAGATGTGGCTGCCTTCCATGGTGTGATGACCGCGTCTCTGGCAACGGGCCAGGAACTCACTGAGAACGAGTTCATGCATGTGGTGGACGCATGTGTTTATATCAATGATTTTGTGGATTTCCGCGGCGACACTATGCGCAAACAACGTGAAAATGTTATTCTCCGTGGGATAAGAGGAGACCTGTGCAGATACCTTGATCGAATGATCGTGCAGTGCCTTGACTCGGTCATCGAAGTTATTGAGACTTCTGAGGTCGGGGCATTAGTTGTCATGGGGTATTGCAACTGGGCAATTCTTGGGGCACATCACAAAGTGTTTGAGATATTGGAGGGTATACGGAAAGTGAAAAATGATGCTGCTTGCATATACAACTCACAGTTGGATGCAACTCGCTATGAGCGACTTCTCCAAGCATTACAACCATACGGCACACTTGGTGACCAGGGCCCTCGAGTTTCGAAGAGACGAGTCGAAATGGACAAGCTATATAATGTTTATCGGAAAGAACCCACTTCGCACTTAGCATGGCTTGCGGATGCCACTCGGGACCTCCTGCAGCCAAATGTATTGAGAAAAATCATTGATGTGGTGCACTATGAGTGGAGTGGTGATCTGGGCGCTGTTGATTATTGTCCTTAAATATACGCTTTTTCAACTTCAAGTTCTGTCATCTTAAAAAAAAAAGACTAATTCCAATATTCAACGCCAAAGATGCCTAAGACCCGTGGATCCATATTTGCTCACCAAATATTGGCGGAGGCTTTCCGTGACTAATTTAATTTGCCTCCCGCCAACATCTCAGCGCTCCACCTTTTCTCTTTCCTTGTTACCCCAGATTCCCAGAACCGACCAGATACTACACAGACAAATGGATGGCCCAGTTCCTCCAATTATTCCCGATGGGAGACTGCCCGATTCTTTCAATACTACCTCTTCGCTTTTTGAAGAAGAGGCTTTTTTATCGCCAGGTACATTTTCAAGTGCGGACGAGTATGCCGCCAACCCGCGCTTCCTAGAATTACAGGAAGAACTTCGCTGTGTTTTATTCTCGGCGGTTTCCAGTCTCGAGCCAAACACATACACGTCTCCCACGCCGTCAGAACCCCTGGATGGCCCTGGCCCCCGAGCATCACGTCCGAGCTTGGACTTTACGCGGGTATCGATTCCCAAAATACGACTGATTTATTATTTGAAGAATTGGATCACGGAATGTGCGCCGTACTTGGACAAATTCGACGAGTCGCGCCATTTTGGTGTCCACATTCCAATCCTGGCGCAGAAGTCGCCAACATTATTCTACGCTATTCTCGCATTCTCCGCCCGCCAAAATGAGCGCAAAGCTTGCCTTGACAAGGCCTACGATAGCCTAGAGCTATACCAGGAATCAATACGACTATTAGCGCCTTGTCTGCAAGCCAAAGATCCAAATGTATTGGTTACGGTCTGCATTTTAGCCGTAATGGAGTTGATGTCCGTCAGTCCACGCGATTGGCGCCGCCATGTCGAGGGCTGCGCGGCACTTTTCGATTCTTTCAACGTGAACGGCCTGTCAGGGGGGGCACCTACAAGCAGTTTTCTGGTGCTATGCGCGCATGGAGCTCTGCGGGGCAATTATCTCCAACGGTGCAGAGAGCACAGTTCTGCCACTGGAAAAATGGGTACCTGCCATGCCAGAAGCATCATGTCCGAAAGAACAAGAGGACATGATTCGGGACTTATTTTGCCAAAAGAGCCGTACATCGCCAGACATGCATGCGAACTGGGCAGTATATCTCTGCGCGAAAACATGCGGCCTCGCAAGTCGGCAAATCAGACATCTTGAACTTGGTGAGATGGTCGATGACACCAGATCCTTCGTCGAGCAGTGGGACTGCCTTTGGGATGAACTTCAATACTGGCTGGAACAGCGACCCCCAGCCATGTTACCCATCAAAACAACGGGGCTGGGTGGTGGACAGATTTTCCCAGAGATACTCTATGCGCATTATGCCGCCATAAGTGGGAATCAGCTGTATCATGCATCGTGCATCATGATGCTCGACATGAAGCCACCGGAGAAAATTCTGCCTCCTGCGAAGCCACAATACTCCGCAATTTGGCATGCGCGGAGAGTGTGCGGTATTTCGCTTACGAACCCACACAGTGGAAATTTGATTAATGCTATTCAGCCACTTTACATCGCAGGCAAATTTCTCAGTCACAACAGCGAGCATATTGAGGTCGCCAAACTATTCAAAATAGTCGAGGAGACAACTGGGTGGGGTGCGCTCTGGAGATTGAAGGATCTTGAAAGAGCTTGGGGATATGAGCCGGGTGAGATTTTGTCTGCGATTTAAGCATTGAAAAATGGGCGTCTTCACATTTGAAATCCCTGGAAGAATATCTTAGAAAGAACGCTTAATATACATGGTATTTAAAATAATCGTGCAGACGCCCAAGATACATGCATGGCGACAAGTTTATATACGATTTTAAGATAACTGGATCTAAACACATCGGCAGCTTTCCATTCTTATTTCTTCAGATCCGCGCAAGTCTTTGGATATTGCAGAGCGTGCTTAACCCGATTCTTCAACTTGTCGGCATCAACCTCAAAGACGTAGTTCACCTGGCGAATACCACCGGGAGCGAGTGCCTTCTGGTAGACGTGGATGTTGCCATAATTGGGGCTTCCATAGGAAGTGTCCACATCGAGGTACACTAAACGCGAAAGAGTTAGATTTTTCGGTCAAGAACAGGTTGCTCGCTTTCCACTTACCCGAGGTCTGGTTAGTAGCAAGGGAAGGGTCAACCATTAGGGCCGCGGCTGTCTCATCCCAGAAAGGGAAAGAAAGGTCATAGTATTTGGAGAAAAGCTCTGAGTAAGGGTTCTTGACAGAGGCAACCTCCTCGACGAATTCCTTTGTGGGGAAGACCTGGTTTGCAACATTGCCAGCAATGGTGATCTCAGGGAAGTCCGCAGTCAAAGCGATCTTGGATGCCTCCGGGTCGATCATGAGGTTAATCTAATATGTGTTAGAGCTTGAAGGCTTTTACTTGAAACGTGGGGCTTACATCAGATTGATAGTCAGCGAGCATAATGCTACCCGTAGCCTCGAGCATGTTGAGATCGACATATCCACCCATGATCACTAGATCTTTAGCCAGCGATGCGAACTGGGGGTCCATGCGGACGGCCAAGGCGATGTTGGTCAAAGAACCAGCAGAGTAGATAGACACTTGGCCTGGATACTTGTGGACCATTTCCACCATAAAGTTCGCCGCAGAAGTAGAGTTGTCGGGCTTGCCCTTAGGGTATCCCTCCTTGAAAGCCTCCTTCACGATGCGGTTTGGATTGCCCGAGGTGGGATCATTGCCTTGCGCTTCGAGGGTCTTGTTCTCTGGGGCGAAGGCACCTTCCCAGGGGAGCTTTCCGTGAATGGTTTCCCATGCTTGGAATCGTTCTGGGGTGTTGATCAAGGGCCAAGTGGCGCCGGGGTAAACTGGAATGCAGCTGAGGTTGCCGGCCTCGAGGGTGGCGACAGCATGCAATGCCACTTGGGGTTGCCAGGAATTGGCAGTATCTGGAGAGTTAGCGTTAGCTAGCTAAACCAAAGACAACCCAAGGGAGTGAGACGTGATCTCACCTGACGCTAGTCCCAGCACATCAACGCCTCCATCAAGAGCGATTAAATACGGAACAAATCCTGCCGTGTACCAATCATTGTCCATGATGGCATAGTGCTTATTCGACCGTGCCTTCGGCAGCGCAAGACTACCAGTGACGAATGGGAGGATAGTGCTGCAAAGCAGCGGCAACGAAGTGGGCCAATGCATGATGAAAAATCGGGGGAAAAGGCCAAAATCAAATCGTGAGAGAGCTATTGATCGTCTTCAGCCTCGTTCTCTCACCGGATCTTTTATATTTACAAGTAAACATTTCCTGCTGCCTACCCCAGACTTCTCATCGGCCATACCCGATTATCTCCCGACAATTGGGTTTTCTGATGTCAATCGCCATGCGATTATCCTCCACGTTCTCCACGATCCCCGCATGGAACTGACTTAGGGAGCAAGCCCGTGGCTCTGATTTCCCAAAGCAGCGACAGAGTTCAGGGCCAGTGCCCACACTATGCAGGTGCGTCAGGCCATCAGGAGCTAAAGCATTTTAGGGTGTCATATTTCCTGCAACTCGACACGCTAATGGGCCAAATCCCATGGAATTCACGCGGGATGCCTCCGATTTCCCCCTTCGCTAACCGAGTGGATCCACCCCGAACCCGAATGTTTCGCCGAATCGGGATATCAGAGCCTACACCCCATTAGCTTTTGGTTAAGGGCCTGCTCCGCACTTGTCCGCACTTGTCTTTGCCTCCACGTTTTTGCAGCGTTCCGGGGAAAAACCACGCGATTCGGCCTCCCGAGACCGGGGAAAGAGGCGTTTTGGCTTTTTTTTTTTGCGCGGGTGATGGCCCCGTACATTCGAAGGAGGATGGTTCAAAAAAGGTATAAGACATGACTTCCCCATAATTTCGCAGATCGACATTCTCGCCGTTGAAAATTCCCCTTCTACGAGTACAGGTTTCTTGTTGTTCCTGCTCTGCCCGATCTCCTTTTTCTTCATTTTCAGTATGTCGGACCGAACGTCCGTTGATGTGGAGACGGCACCGCGTATCCAAATCGCGAAGAAGTCCATGTGGCAGTCAATTTTTGCCAATCCTAAAGTTCTACTAATCGCCTTCTTTGCTTCGTGAGTTTTCCTGTTTGCCTTTGGGTGATTTAAAATTTCTGTGCGCACCACTAACTCTGCAATCTAGCTTTGGTGGATTCGAGTATGGATACCAGCAAGGTGTCTTGGGCCAATCCCTGGTCATGACCCGGTTTACTGAAAACTTCCCCACCGTCGTCGCATCGTCTACAGCAACTGGCTGGTTAACATCCGTTCTCCAATTGGGAGGTATTGCGGGTTCGTTGGCCGCCGGTATTCTTGGAGAAATCTACTCCCGCAAATACACCATGTTCTTCGCCTGCTGCTGGGTTATTCTGGGCAGCTATCTCTATATTGGCGCCACTGCCGGAAACCCATCTCTCCTCTATGCGGGACGGTTTTTCACTGGTCTGGGTGTCGGCTTGTTCAGTGGTGTCGGCCCACTGTACAACGCTGAGCTTGCTGCCCCCGAAATGCGCGGCTTGCTCGTTTCATTCTATCAGTTCGCCACTATTCTCGGAATTATGATCTCCTTCTGGGTTGGATACGGCAGCAACAACATTGGTGGTGTCGGCGAGACTCAATCCGACATGGCATGGCGTCTTCCCTCTATCATTCAAGGTATCCCCGCCATTTGCCTGGCATGCGGAATCTGGTTTATGCCCTTCTCGCCTCGTTGGTTGGTCAAGCAGGGCCGTGATGAAGAAGCCCAGTCTACTCTGGCATGGATGCGCAAGCTGCCCGTCGAGCACGAGCTGGTTCAAGTCGAGTATTTGGAGATCAAGGCCGAGGCCCTCTTCGAAAAGCGTGCTTTTGCCAAGTCGTCGCCCAAGCTGGCGGAGCGCGAGCGCCAAAGCGTTTTCATGAACCAGGTTGCTCAATATGCCAACTGTGTTCGCTCGATGGACAACTTCAAGCGTGTCGCTACTGCCTGGATGGTCATGTTCTTCCAGCAGTGGAGTGGTGTTGATGCAATCATTTATTATGCGTCCAACGTCTTTGTCAGTCTTGGTCTAACTGGTGGTACCATTGCTCTCCTCGCTACCGGAGTCACTGGTGTTGTTTTCATTATTAGCACTATTCCCGGCATGGTAAGTAAAGTATCTACCTTGAAATATTCCGAAAAGCTTTCCGCTAACTCTCTCACAGTTGGTCATCGACAAGATTGGTCGCAAGCCTATGCTTCTTGGAGGCTCTGCTCTCATGTTTGTCAGCATGGTGATTGTCGGAATAATCGTCGCGAAATTCCAGCACGATTGGCCCGGTCATGTCGCAGCCGGTTGGAGTGCGGTTGCTCTTATCTGGCTGTATATCGCAGGTTTTGGAGCCACCTGGGGTCCTGTCTCATGGACCCTTGTCTCCGAGATTTTCCCTCTCTCCATTCGCGCCAAGGGTGCCTCAATTGGCGCGTCTAGCAACTGGATCAACAACTTCGCTATTGCCTTCTTCGTGCCTCCCATGCTCCAAGCTTGGCAGTGGGGTACATACATTTTCTTCGCCGGCTTCCTCCTGGTCGGTATCTTCTGGGTCTATTTCTTCCTCCCGGAGACCAAGAATGCCAGTCTCGAGGAGATGGATCGCGTTTTCGGCAGCCACACTGGAGAGCAAGATGCGGAACTTCTCCGCGAGGCTCAGAGAGAAGTTGGCCTCACGGCCTTCATTGAGCGCCTTGGTAGTGCCACTGGGCGCGATTTGGAGAAGAAAGAGGGCTCCCAGTATATTGAGAGTCTGTAGAATTTTCAAGTTAGCAATAATCGGTGTGAGGAATGATTAGGCCATCCCTTGCTTTGGAAAACTAGTATCATAATGCAGTTCAAGACCTTTCTACGAAATATTTCCACAATTCCCAGGGTCCTCCTAATCTCCTACTAGTAGTTCCATATCTTATCTATCAAGTGCATAGTAATCCATGGGTCTCTTGTGGATATGTATGTATAAGCCTTCGATATTTAGTGCCTAGATCGAGCGATCGCTGAACGTTCTATCGGGTGGCGTCCGAATCCGCCTCCGCCTCCACAGACCCAGACACAAGAATGAAAACATAATGAAAACGCGGTCCAAGCCGCAAGCCTGGCAGATCGGGTGATTTGCCCCACAACGGGCCCCGACTTTGCGCGGCATCCTCCGGAGAGCACTTTTTGGGGAGAAAGGAGCCTCCAGATCGCGCTTTTGGTCTCCTTCACAATCCGGGGTCATGCATACTATACTAACACCATGCCCCGGAAACCTACACCCGCAGGCAAGCAACGGGTTCGGACGGGGTGTCTGACGTGCCGCAAAAGGCGACGAAAATGTCGGTGACAATCTTTTCATTGTGCGTTCCTCGGGCAAAGAAGCTAACGAGCAAGCAGGCGACGAGCAAAAGCCGCGATGTGCCAACTGCGAAGTAAAGGGCTTTACTTGCAAGTATGGCTCTGACTTGGCATTTGTACCCCCACGATCAGGGGATGCGCCAGGCGGACGACATGTGTATGGCGCGATCAGTGTAAGTGAGGCTGGAATTTATTTAACAACATAGCTGACCGTACAACTAGTTCGTTGATGACTCCCCGGTTGCACATGCTACAGTGAAAAGCAAGGAGAAGTCTCTGGATCAAGATACACAAGCGACCGATTCCAGCGACGTTTCACTCACAGCTCAAGGCACACTGAATCCAACGGGCCAGGGTCCGTTTCTTAACCCCAGTGGCAACCGTACGACAGTCGGTTTAAATGATATCTTGGCATCTAATACACCTCCCCACAATTCGCAGGGGCAGTCAACTTTACAGACTGTTCTTGGTCTCCCTGGCAGCCACCCCGGTGGTAGCCCCTTAAGCCTGGAGTATCTTCGCTTAACCAGAGACTACTCGCTCTTACCACGAAGGCCAATAAGTGTGATCAGCAACTATGAGACAGACCTTCTGCGCCATTTCCGGTACTCTGTTAGTCCTTGGATTGACGTCGGGGATCCCTATTGTGCATTTGGAGTCCAAGCCCTGCTCATTTCCAGATCGAACCGGCCTCTCCAAGCTGCTATTCTTGCTTTGTCTGCAAGTCAAAGACAGCTCCTCGCTCTGGGCTCCCAGAGCCAAGATGTTGGTGGCAGTATTCGATTTCGCAAGGAAGCAGAAGCGAGCCTGGCTATGGAGACTGACATGTTGCGACGTACCGGTCAAGCCTTGTTGCTATTACAAGATCTCTTACCATCCGGCGTCCAAGGGTGGAGAGATAAGCTAGAGGCTCACATTGATGCTGGTGGTCTTGTGATGCCTACTGTGCTGGAGGAGGAAATGGGCGAAGAGCTATTTTGGCTGCATTTTCGCCTTGGTCAGTACTCCCCTGGTGAATTGCTACAGGAACGAAACTGATCAAATTCCCATTTTTAGATCTTGCATCATCTCTGATGACGTCCAAATCGCCTCTTATTCCATTTCGCTCATTCCTCCAACGCGATGGGTCGCCTATACACACCCCTCACAAAAACTCACAAACGCCTTCCGTCCACCGAGTGTACAATCACGCGCTATGTCTACTTGGACATAGCCTTGCTTTAATATACGGAGATCCGTCGGATGTGACTTCTCCACAAGCAGCTGGATCACCAGAGCTAGCGGCTTATCCTTCCTTGCGACAGTCACACTTTTTATCACAGTGGACATTCCTTTGGACAGATTGTCAAAAGTGGTATAATGAGCGTCCAGTTGACGCACAGCAGATTGTGGATGTCCGGGGTGGAGAAGCAGATCAACTGGACCCTGATCATGACACGGGCTTCCCCATCCTCATCTTCACAACGCCAATGGCGCTGGTCGCCAATACCGTTTACCACATAACGTCACTTCTACTCTTAACGCATAAGCCACGACTCTTGAAGTCGCTTCCTGGACCACGTTGTTTCACCTCTCACATCTGGCATGCCCAGTCAATAGCTGGTATTGCAACCAGTAATGACTCGCCGGAGCAGTTTGACCCGATACTTGTCGTGGGGCTACTTCTGATTGCGCGAGAGATGACCCATGAGTCGCAGCAAATCGTTTTACTTGAGGTGTTGCAGAAAATCACAAATACGACAGGCATTAACCTTGAGCGTGAAAGGGAAGCGCTCCGGTCTGTATGGAGAATAGCGCGGTATGACGACGGGTCTGATGAGCAAGATATTTAGTGTGGTAGTATTATGTATTTCATGAAATCATTTAAGCGCCGTTTCCCATTTTGTTTCATCTTTTCATGTCCATATATAGTCTAGTATGTATTTATCTTTTATAACCTCATTATTCCATATCGTAAGCAAAGGGGATGCTTTGCATAGCACCTCTTCGTTGAACGCACTTGGCGGCAGCAGCGTTTGCTTTTGACACAGCAGCCTCAATCTGATCATCAAAGGACTCCAAAGATGCACCGGTCGCAAGGAATCGACCGAGAGCAGTTGAAAAGTATCCTACAAAAGTATCACCCGCAGCTGTAGTATCAACAACCTTCAACACCTTAACTCCAGGCACAACGCCACGCCGGCCGGTCCGAGTAGAGAAGTAAACACCCTTAGCCCCGAGAGTGATGACCACAATCTGAACATGAGCCAGCTCATGGAATCTTGGTGCAAGCTCCTCGGGTTGCAAATCGTCTAGTTCGGTGGGCTGGGTCGAGTCAGAAACAGGAAGACCAACAATTGACCTCGACATTTGGACCGCCTCGGTTTCATTCATAATGAGGACAGATGTGTGTTTCAGAGCCGTAAGCGATATACCCTCAGGAAAAACAGGCGCAGGATTGAAGACCACGTGGGCGCGGTTGGTGGTTGCAACACCCCCGTTGAAGTATTCGAGCAGGCCAAGTGTAGTCTTGCGCGGAATTTCGCCTTGCAAAACAATGACTCCAGGGCTAACTTCCTGCTCCTTCACGGCAGAGATGATGTGTGAGGTATCATTCATCATGCCAGAATGGTTTGCGCCCGGAACCACCAGGATGCGATTTTCTCCTCCAGCGGCCTCTTCGACAATGATGCTGGCTGATCCAGTTTGAGCCTCGGTGGACTCTTCGATGCTTGCTGTGTTGACACCGGACTTTTCGAAAGCAGGCTTGAGAAGGGTCGAGTAGTAGACATCATCGGCACCGACCGCTCCGATCATGCTCACGGCAACATCTTGTGTGTCCTTCGAAGTAAATGAGGCACGACCGCACGCTGTTGCTTGGTTTCCACCCTTGCCGCCGGCTGTGACGGACAAGGAGGTTGCTGTAAGAGTTTCACCGGGGCCGGGGCATCGCGGGGTCGATGTCACAAAATCAATATTCAAGGAACCGATGATGCAAATGTGTGGTTGGGAAGTTCCCGTGGTCGCGGTTTCGTCTTTAATACCCATTTTTGAGGCCCCGGGGCACGACTGGAATGTGACGGCGAGGGGTTGGTCTTTCGGGGCGAAGTAGAGGAGTTTTGAGAATATTTCTGTGAACTTAGAGTAACAGCTTTGGTCGTAAGAGTGAAATCAAAATGGAAATTAATCTCGGCTCGGGTTGTCCTATATTTATTTATTCAAGTTCGGCTTATCTCCAAGCATTTCACGGTCCGGGGGCGAGGAAGCCATCGGCTATCACCCGAAAATGGATGCCGTAGCCTCCGTACTTACAAAACAGGTTAGGATCTGCCGCTAAATTTGTCTAAGCGGCTAGCGCCCCTCCGTAGGCCTGGAGGGTTCTATCATCGCGGTTTTTTCTAGAGAAAAAGTAATGATGACATGAAAAATTCTTTTAAGCGCGTCTGTTTAAATAGATCATGTCGATCGCTTGATTCACAGTCTACCTTTAATATAAAGCCGACTTCCAACAAGCTTCAAACCTTGGAAATAGACCTTTTTGGGCATTGGTTGCACCTACTCCTGAGGTCATAATTGAAGTTTGTGCCGAGCTCCCAGCAATATATAATATGGTTCCGGCCTGGGTTTCTCGAATAATGGTTATCACGACGAATAAAATCCGCCAACAAGACAATGAAACTAGTATTTATCTCATCCTTCAGAAAGCGGAAATGGAAGATGAAGATAGAACGGAATAAACTCAACAAATCGACCCGGAAGGCGATTGACTAGTAGTACTATGCCCGGAATTTGCGAAAGTCTTGACTGGTGGTGAAATCGTCAACCACGAGATCAAATCTGGGATTAATTAATCAACGGCCGACCGAGAAAAAATCAATCCAATTCTTATGTGTTTTTGAAAATTCTTAGAAAGCATCAAAAGTAATAAGAATCCGAACATGCGAACTGGGAGTTCCGGAAGGAGGTTGCGGGCAACTTTTCTACCGTGACCACGCAGCAGCGTGGTCACACACATCGATCCGTCTCAATAGTAATTCCTCAATATCGACCGTCTCGTTACCTTCAAAAACATCGAAGCGAAAGGGATAAGGACCCCCAAAAAATGCAAAAAAGACAATGCTCACGTCCAGATTTGAACTGAAGACCTCGGCATTACTAGTGCCGCGCTCTACCAACTGAGCTACGCGAGCTTGTTGATGGAGGGGATTGCCGATGTTGGTTATACAAGATAAGACTCTGAAAACCCAAAGGTATCGGCTGTCGAAATCCACCTCTCCAGTCACTTCTCCTTGTACAGAGGACTGTCTCCCTTCGAGTGGCTATGTTCGGAAGACATGCCAAGCCCATGCTCCTAGAGGCTGTAGCGTGATTGGCCGAGATATTGAACGATCCAATTCTTGTTTGTTGAGATACTTGGGTTTGAGATATTTCGCCTGGAATATGTTCAGCCCGTGAGGCTTGGAACTAGAACGAACCTACAGATCCATCCATGAATTTAGGTAAAACTATTCCCGAGTCAGGTTAGTATTGGGTGCCCAGGTGGCTGAGGCCATGAAACAAATTTTCCCTAGATCTCCAGCCCGGGGAAATTACGAAGGGTGGTCCGTAATGTTGGCAATCTAGGGCGAGGCGAACGGTAGAATCAATTGAGAGGTTTAATAATAGATGAAAGCATAGCAAACTTGAAGGCTCATACGAAAGTAAGATAACAAACGAGCTAGATTGAAGCAATTATATGAAGCGACGGAGTTGGTTCATTGGGAGTAGTATATTTACGCATGATCCACTTCACCTAAGATCTTCAAGAACTGATGGGAACCGCTGCTGAGCCTCCATTGTACTATTTTTACACCGAGAAATGTATCTAAAAAGCAACACACCAAAAGTTAATTCTTTAATTATGGTCGTAGCCTCTACTGGTGGTCAAAAGGTTCCGGATCCGCTCCTGTATCCAAGAAGGAGCTCCTCTCACAAGTGAAAGTATCCAGAAGTTAGATGGCAAGAATACTTGAGCTCCAAAAGTTGACCTAAGTTGCTTTAATATAGCCTCTGCAACTTCCTCAGGCTCGAGAAGATGACCCTTAAGAGCTCCACTCTGCATGAGCTTCTTGATAAGCGGTGTCTTGACCCAGCCTGGATGGATAATACTAAATCGAAGTTATTAATATTAGATATATCAATATGGCCAGCTGGAGACTTACGTCGTGCGAACCCCTGGCGCACGATAAATATGTCGAATTTCCTGACCAAGGCCCTCATGAAACGCCAGAGCAGCAGATTTGGTGCATGCATAGTCGACATTAACCGCACGTGTTGTGAATGAAGCAAGGCTGGCAACAGTCACGACATGTCCATGGTCATTGGATACCATAGCTGGAAGGAATTCCTTGACGAGAAGAAAGCTTGAAATAATATTCACTTCAAATGTTGCGTGAAGACGATCTTGTGGAAGGTCAAGAATTGGCTTATTCCACTGTATACCGGCATTATTTATCAGAACCGTGGGGTCACCATGTTCCGATCGAATCCGTTCCGCAACTCTGTTGATGTGCTCCACATTGGTCAAGTCGACTTGATAGAAAAACGCATTTTCTGTCTCTGCTCTTGTTAACAAGAGTACTAATGAGAGAATAAATGTACGTACCGGCATCTGGATGGGGCCTGCAAAGATCCAAACCTATCGTCTTAATACCCTGTTCGGCAAAGAGCTTAACGATTGCTGCTCCAATTCCACTGGCACCCCCAGTTACCACCACGATTTCCTTATCCCAGTCCCACGTATCCTTTCCAGCGGGGCTATTCAACGCACGCCTGGATAGGTAGGAATTGGATTTGTAAAGGAGACCAATGCAGGCCAAAGCGCCAAGACCTATAGACAGTGGAGGTGGGATCGAGACCTGGCGGGGTTGCCTTATTATTTGAGTGAGATGGTCCACAATATCTGGCATGGTCGCTTTTAATTTTTCGATGAAGAAAAGAAAAAAGATCGATTGATTGAAGGACTTCGGAGCTTGCTGTCGATGTTTCGAAAATCGGGAGATGAGCCACGTGGACTTTTTAAATAAGCTCCTATGGCCCCCAATATTTTCATAACCGATCTCCGGGTGCTAAGGCTTTATCAGACCCGCGGGATTTAATTATGCAATTTTTGATCGATATGATTCGGAGTTTCAAAAATGTGAGGCTCCAAATTTATTTCCGTAATATCGAGGTCAGACAGGATTGAGACTCGAGAGTGGATTGACAAAATGATGATTTGCACGAATCCATTGCGATAAACTTACACCGGGCGGCTATCATGAATGGGAAGTAACTAGTAGTAGGAGTTTGAGAGAGAATTCGGATGTGGTGATATCAGGTCCTACCAGGTCAGATGCCTATAAAGAACTCATGTGTGCGCAACCGTTGAAGTGTGATTGCAAGGGGCCAAAGTCATACACTTACATTGTTTCATAGCACCCGTCGAGTCAGAATGCATACAAAGTAAAGCCAGTCTATAAATATTCAAATTTCATGCTAACTCCGAGTCCACACACAAAAACGAAAAAAAAGAGAGAGAAAATCACACAGATCGCCAGTAACTTCTAGTATTAATTGGATGAGGCGTTAAACGGTCGCTAGCGCACCCAGTGTGGCGCTCCATAAGCTCAGCCTTGTCAGTAGTTGCATATATGAGTATTCTACCTGACCGTCTTGAAGGCCGCCTGTAACTTCTCAGTCTGAAATTAGCAGTGTTCCATATACAAATTTGGACAAAATTACAATATGAACACAAAATTTTCTGACCCTCATTGTCTATTCCGATTGAATATCCTCTAGTAGTATACTAGTACCTACCTTAGATAGAATAGATTAGCCAATCCATTCCATCCCAGGTGGCTACTAGCCCCCCTTAGAAAGATAGAGACTTGGAAGTTGAGGGCGGGCTTCAACTCTGACAATTAAACACCCTTATATGCAGGTACTGACCAATATGGGCCTATGGAGCGCCGTAAGCATGGCCTGATGCTTCTGACAGCGCGGGGTCGTGCATATATGCATGATTTTAAATATAGTGATGGATGTACACTCTTCCACTGAATCGATGTGTCAAGGGGCTGACTAGCCAAGCCGGATATCTGCACGAGGCTAAAAGTAATACTTCATGCTAAAAAAGAGAGTGGCGGAGGACTTAAGTCGGACTTAAGCCAAGTTGCTGTACATTGACAAATGGGGCGTCCAGCTGATCCAAACTAGCCATAGCCACGTCGATCTTCAATAGCCGTTGGGAAAGCCGGGAATTTTGAACTGAATCATTACAGAAACCTTGGAAGAATCCGGAGATTGTTGCTATCCCCGGAGCTACCGACTGAGACAGGCCTTGTCTTAGAGCCGCATGTCGGATTTTGTTTCTTGTACAACTACCCGGAGGCAGAAATCAGCGTTGTGACTATTCACCGGCATGCCACGGAAAACGATAGCAAATGGCAGACCACTATGTACGAGTAGCGCAAGATATGCCTACTTCAAGTTATAGTCTTGTATTGGCGCTGCGGGGTTCCTCGAGAGAGTGTCTCTACTTAAGAAATCGAGATTTCCAGGAATTTACCCAACTACAACTCTGCCGAGATATTAACCCCTTTGACTGAAAACATGGCATCGAACGGAACCACAAACAAACATGGCCGAGGCGAAACGCCCGCAACCAGAGTTGCTAATGGACAACATCCGGAAAACTGGATGCCTTGCAGAGATCAACCTGTCTATACTCGACGCAAACTCCGGATCGCTTGTATCGGGGCTGGATATTCCGGTTTGACATTGGCGCACAAGATTGATCACGAGCTGAAGCTCAGCGACGTAATTGATCTAGTCATTTATGAGAAGAATTCTGCTGTTGGTGGAACTTGGTTTGAGAATACATACCCCGGCGTGGCGTGGTATGTCTTTACCCCGTAGCTACTGCGGTTAATGGTAGTTTGCTGATTGAAGAATAGTGATATTCCATCTCGTACGATATACATTTCTACGACCTTTGATTTTTATCTAACATTGGGCCAGATGCGTACACCTTTCTTTTCGAGCCTAATCCCAGCTGGTCGAAGTTTTATGCTCCTGGTCCCGAGATTAATGAGTACATCCAGCGGACAACGAAGAAGTGGAATTTGGACAGGAATGTCCAGTTTAACTCTCGGGTGAAGGAAACTCTTTGGGACGATGAGTTAGGAAAGTGGAAGATTGAAGTCGATCAAGCCGGGTCGGTAAAATATGACGAGGTCGATATATTGGTCAACGCTGCAGGATTTCTCAAGTAAGATTCAATTCCAGAAGCGCGGAATTTGAGGTAATTTAGAAGCTGACAATTTGTTTTCACCTTGCAGCAAGACCAATTGGCCAAATATTGAGGGCTTGTCTGAATTCAAGGGCAAGCTTGTTCACACGTCAAATTGGTAGATCACTTACTAGACTTGGAAGTGTATGATAGCAATACTAACTTTCACAGGGACAACAACTATGACTGGACCAACAAGAACGTCGCAGTGATTGGAAATGGGTCATCTGGCATCCAGTGCGTGACAGCCATGCAGCCAAAGGCCAAAAAACTTGTGAACTTTGTTCGTAACCCGACATGGGTCTCTGTGAACATTTGCGCAGACAAAACCCCGGACGGGCTCAATTTTGCATATACGGAAGAGCAGAAAAGGCTGTTTACCGAAGACCCTGTTGCTCATTTCAAGTATCGGAGGGAGTTGGAGAGCAGGTATGTCATTGTCGCTGGGGTGACATTTCCGAGTATATTAATTAATACCATCTATTTGTCCAGCGTGAATGGCTTCTTTTACGGAATGTACAGAGATCATCCGGTGCAGGTTGAACTGACAGCTCTCTGTCGGCAGCATATGCAGGAGAAAGTAAGAGGGATTCCAGACCCTGAAGTCGTTTCAAAATTGCTTTCTCTGGATTGGAATCCTGGTTGTCGTCGCCTGACGCCCGGAGAAGGCTACATAGAGGTTTTCTCAAACCCAAATGCGACCTTGAGTTTTGATCCTATTGAGAAAGTTACCGAAGAAGGTATTAAAATCAAGGATGGAAAAGAACACCAATTTGACATTATTGTGTGTGCCACTGGATTCGACACCAGCTTCATTCCTTCTTGGAAATTGGTCGGTCGCGGTGGAGCAATGTTAGATGAACGATGGAAGACCAATCCGGAATCATTTTTCTCTGTTCAAGTCGACACAATGCCTAACTACTTCATGTTCAGTGGTCCTAACGCAGTAGTCTCTCATGGCTCTCTACTGGCGTCTATATCGTGGACTTGTGACTATATCCTACGATGGGCCAAAAAGATTGCGACCGAAGATATCAAGTAAGCAGGCCAATTACTATGCCGAGCTCGTTTGTATACTCTCAGGCTAATATGAAAATTATAGGTCAATTGATGTCAAGAGAGAATCCATGGACGACTATAACGTTTATGCCCAGGAATTTCTGAAGCGCATGGTCTGGTCCGATGGGTGCCGATCTTGGTACAAAAACGGCAAAGCGTCCGGACATGTTACGGCCGTATACCCCGGCTCCATCTTACACTTCAATAATTGTCTCGAAAATATCGGCGGAGAGCATTTCAACTTCCAGTATCGATCCAAGAATAGTTTCCACTTCCTGGGAAATGGAGAAAGTATTCATGATAAATACGGGAAAGGTGACATGGCATACTACATGGACGAGAGGAGTGTTTGAGATGTGGCTCTGGTTGGGATGAGGCTCTTGGGTCAAATCATAGTTAATTTCCGAATAAACTCAATTTAATACACTCGCACAAGTCCCGTGTATCTGCTGACGTGGGATTTAATTCAAATCGGTATCCTCCAAGCCTGAGTGGAGCGCATAAAACTCAGTAAGTCGCGGAGTCCCCTTTATACAGTAAGACAAGCCCGAATCCCTCTCAGTGGGTGGACGATGTTGTCCGGAGCGGGGCATTCCCGACGGAGACCTAACAATCCGGTTGATTTGTGATCGGCGGGGTAAATTATAGCTTACTATTTTAAAACACGCCCATCTTCCAATTTCAATGATTTTGAAAAATCAAACTCCTCAAAATTGCTGCAACCATGGCGGTCCACGTAGTGTCAAAGTTAGATATCAGCCAACATGCAACCTTCCCGGTTCCTGCGGCTGCCGGTCCCCAACAACTTGCCCCGTCCAGCCTGCGTGTCAAGACACAATTAATTACTCTGTCATCGAATAATTTAACCTATGCGAAACTGGGGAGTGCGTTAGGATGGTGAGTCGTCAATCCTTTCTTACCAAAGCGACAATTGCTCAAGGTCAACGCAGGTGGAATACATACCCCGTCTCACCATCCTATCCAGCCCCCTACAACGACGAATCCAAATGGGGCATCGTTCCAGCCTGGGGTTTTGCCTCGATTGAAGAGAGCAATATTCCCGAATTGACTCCAGGAACACTACTGCACGGGTATTGGCCCACATCCGCCGCGTTGACAGATTTGAAACTACAAGCAACTACACTAAGCGGGCATTGGCTCGAGATCAGCGATCACCGTTCACAACTCATGCCTCTATACAATCGCTACAACGTGCAACCGACATCGTTGTCTGCGGGTGCGATCGCAAATTCCACAGTTGCACAGTCTACCGAGCTAGATAAACTTGGTTGGTCGGCTGTTTTCCAGGCAATCTGGCAAGCTGGTTACTACCTGAGTGAGTACGTATTCTCACCACGAGAAGGTATCCAACCTATCCACCCCCTTGGTAATGCGGCGGGTTTGACTTGGACGGATGATGACGCGGACTTGTCTAAGTCTGTGGTTGTGAGCCTGGCTCCTTCAGGAAAGACTGGACGTTCATTTGCCTATTTCTTTGAACGAAAATCGAAGGAATTGGCACCTCTAGGCTTTTTGCAGGTCACATCGGCAGTGGAGGGTCTTTCCCGGGCCACAGAATCTGCTGCACCCTCGTTTCCTTCCAAGGCTATTGCGTATAGCGATATTTCAGACCCTGCGTCGATCGAGTGGATCCGGAACCTCGGTCCTTCGAAGATTATTTTGCTCGATTTTGGTGCGCGAGAGGGAACTTTCGACGAATTGCTTGCTGGTATCAAGCAGAACAAACTGCTGGCGAGTAGCAAGGTTGTTCTTGTTCAAATCGGTGGTCCGCAGAAGGTATTGTTTTAATCATTCCGCCCGCCTTCGAGGTCACGCTAATGCAATGCATAGAAAATGACAGCGGAAGAAATGGCCGCATTGATGGCGAAAAGAGCCCAGCAGGATATTGGAAGGGTTCAGTACAATACTTCGGGTGTTATTGATAGTGCCCTTGTCGCTCGAGGTGCGGAGGTTTTGTATGAGGAGTTGGCCCAGGAGTGGGAAAAATTGCTCAGTAAGCGCCATCTGACTTTCCCCGATTTGGAGATTATCTGGAAAGATGGAGTCAATGGTGCCGATGGTATTGAGGGAGGATGGGATCTGCTTAATAATGGGAAAGTCGGGGCGAGTGAGGCTCTTGTGTACCGAGTGCAGGGTGCTCAAACTTGAGCATCTCATTGACAAAGTAGTCTGATAGGTGGCAATGGATCTGGGTGTTTTCTTCAGTTTTGGATAGGAGTATCAAGCAGAGTATCAAGTAGAGTATCAAGGAGAGTATCAAGTAGAAGTGGAGTACCGAGTATAGTATAAAGTAGAGTAAGGTGGAAGGTCCCTGGTGCCTGCACTAAACCATTTTGGGCCAGAGTGCAGCCTGCCACAAAGTAGGCAACAGCGGTGGACACCCGACAATTCAGGCCAGAACATTTGTGTTGCACCTTTCCCCCGTCCATCTTCAATCTTTAAATTGTGTCCGACCTCCTCTTCTTTCCATCTCCATCTCGAACTCCTCAAATTTATTTTCTTTCCTCTTTCCTCTTTCCTCTTTCCTCCTCCTCCTCCCCCCCCCCTTTTCAATTGTCCCCTCGGATGTGGTCACCCTGATTCACATCCTTCACACATCGCCATCTCTCTTCATCCCCTCTTACACACACAACTCTAACCTTCAACCAAGAGCTTTCCATTGCCTATTTAAAATCTTCACAATGGCACCTCGTTCATTCAAGGCGCTGGTCATCGCGGTCAGCGGAACATTCCCAGGGTACAAGCAAGGTACGGCCCCCACTTGAACCTCGTATCCACGTGGAAATGTGGAGATGAGCAATGAGGCTGACATTCCTTTTCCACAGCTGATCTGAAGGCGTTGATCACCGACCAAGGAGCCTCCTTCAGTACCTCGGTATCTGCCGAGTGCACTCATCTGGTGACAAACGAGAAAGACGTCGAAAAGAACAGCAACAAATGTGAGTCCTGGCTGGGTCTGGGCGTTTGCCCAAATATGCCTGCCCCCTCCCCCCCTTTTTTGATATTTTGATGCTGACCTCCTCTAGATCAAGCCGCTTGCAACTCCGACAAATGTCACATCGTGTCGCTTGACTGGTTGCTCGAGTCAGTCAATAGCAAAAAGCCACTGACCGAGAAGAAATATACCCTGGGCCAGAAAGCCAGTTCTCAGCCAGCCCAAGCCGACTCCAAGAAGAATGGCAAGGCAAAAAATGGGGACGGCGCAAAGGCCGCTGTCGGGAAGACCAAGACTGTGAAAAACGAGCCAGAGGAGAGGAACGGCGACGCAGTCAAGACCACTGGCAAGAAGCGTGCTATTAAGGAAGAGGACGAGAACGATGAGGTTGACGACACGAGCAAGAAACAGAAAGACTCGCAAAAGGTCGGATTCAAGTCTCTCAATGTTCCAGTCGAGTTGGGGGCAATCAATGCTTTGCCTGGTAACGGAATTGGTTCCAGTGAGTTAAACCCACCCCAGAATGTGCTCTGAATTCTGACTGATTACAACAGACCCAACCGTCCTGATCGATGACTCCGGCGTTATCTGGGACGCGACACTGAACCAAACCAACTCCACTAACAATAACAACAAGTTCTACCGCCTCCAATTGATCGTTACGTGCAAAGGAAAAACCACGACACACTACACTTGGAGTCGATGGGGTCGCGTTGGCGAGAATGGTCAGTCATCGCTGATCATTAGTAGCACTCTGAAGGACGCCTTGAGCCTGTTTGAGAAAAAGTTCAAAGACAAGTCCGGCCTCAAATGGGAAAACAGACTCGATACTCCCAAAGACGGAAAATACACCTTCATCGAGAAGAACTACGAAGAGGAAGACGACGAGCCCAAGGCGAAGAATGGAAAAGCCAAAAAGGAGCCCAGCAAAGGCTCTCCGCCCGTGGAAAGCAAACTGACCCAGCCACTGCAAAACTTGATGTCCTTCATCTTCAACCAGGACCATATCACAAACGCTCTGCGGGCAATGGATTACGACGCGGAGAAGCTCCCGCTGGGCAAGCTGAGCGAACGGACTCTCAAGAACGGTTTCTCAATTCTCAAGGAGCTCTCGGAGCTGATGCTTGACCATGATTTGGCGGTTTCCAAGTATGGCACCACTTTCATCAAAGCTGCGGAGAATCTCAGCAACCGATATTTCACGACAATTCCTCACGTCTTCGGCCGCAATCGCCCCCCTATTCTGTCCACCGGTCCCCAGATCAAGAAGGAGGTTGAACTGATTGAGGCATTGACGGACATGGATGTCGCGAACGAGATCATGACCGAGGCCATGGAGATGGATGATGTCAATCAACTCGATCAACAGTTTAAGGGACTGGGATTGAAAGAGATGACCCAACGTGAGTGACTCGGGTTCCCGCTGCAAAGCATTGCCAACAAAGCTGACCGTCACAGTGGACCACAAATCCGAAGAATTCACTGAGTTGTCGAATTACTTGAAGAACTCGTCCGGCGCGACACACCACATCAACTATGAGGTGAGTATTCTCCACACTCCTTACCCTCGTACCAATACTCATTCCTAACGATCTCCCAGGTCATCGACATCTTCCGAATCGAACGAGACGGCGAAGAAGAGCGATTCACATCATCTGAATACGCCAAACTCCAAACCCAAAACCGCCGCCTACTATGGCACGGCAGCCGCTCCACAAACTTCGGTGGTATCCTCAGCCAAGGCCTGCGAATCGCACCTCCCGAAGCCCCCGTTAACGGCTACATGTTCGGAAAGGGAGTCTACCTCGCAGACACATCGACCAAGTCCGCCAACTACTGCTGCTCATACAACAGTGCGGGTATGGGACTTCTCTTGCTCTGCGACGCGGAGCTCGGCCAACCCATGCATGAACTTTACCACTCTGACTTCCAAGCGGGCGAAAGGGCAAAGGAAAACGGCAAGATCGCCACCCTTGGTCAGGGACGTACCATTCCCGGGGGCTGGAAGGACGCTGGCTCCTTCAACAAGGAACTGGGTGGTGTTCAGATCCCGGACGTGTCATGTGCCCGAGCCGACGATAATAAGGCCAGTCTTCAGTACAATGAGTACATTGTTTACGACGTTGCTCAGATTCGCCAGAGATATCTATTCTATGTCAAGATGTGATCGGATCTTTTTTTTGATTTTGCTTTTCATTCCGCATTAGCGCAGAGGCGTCCAAGAAGCCATGGGTTATTTCGAAGCACGGCGACGGTGTTCACGGTCATTTGCTTGAAAGTTAGCTAGTATATTTTTACTATCTGGCTATTTATCTCGAGGAATTTTTTATATTAGCTTACATAGCTAATCTCAATAGTATCCAACCTCCTATTGACTCCCTTCTAACTAATGGCAGACGAGTAGCTACTTGAGATAGAATAGATTAGCTAATCTCTTCCATCTTGGGTAGCTACTAGTAGTTTACTTTAGGAAGGCAGGACCCAGGCTGGTGAATACGGAAGGTGCTCAGGGAGCAAGTGCCTGGGTAGGTAGAAGGCATCCTCCTCTGGACCATCTTCGTAACCTCTGAACACCCCAACCCATCTGAATCTCGCTCCCACTGCTCAAGCCATCATGCCGAGATTCGTAAGTCCATCAATTGGAACAAAGTTACATCTAATATATGTGAGATACTAACAAAAGCTGCAGTTCTGTTCAGTGCACGGGGCAAACGCCTCGCACGACACGGCTGCTTGCCTGTAGATAGATATAAAGCTGCAGTTTTTGCTCGTTCCACGGAGACAACGCGTCGCACGACACGTCGGTCTGGCACCACATGCAGCTTTCAGCAGTGTTGTTCAGTGCACGGGGATAACGCGTCCCAGAACACGGCTGCTTGCCAGCAGCTCGAAACAGAAGCTGCAGTTTTGCACGTTGCACGGCGCCAATGCGTCTCATGACACGGCTGTCAAAGACATTTCCAGACAGTGCCGACTCATCCCAGCACCGTTATCATGTCAAAGTTCTTCCGGTCTTCCCATGGTCATCGTCTGGGATCTGATCAATGCAATTCGAACCGCACAGTTGCCTCGTATCTCTCCAGCTGCAATTTTGAGCCCGATACTCGAAGACGAAGACACTCGCCTTCTTTGAGCCTGTCCAAACTGTCCGCCTGTAACTTCAATTCGCGCAAATCGGCGACTAACACCTCGCACGACTCATCTGCTTGCCGCCAGATCCGCGCTCTGAACGACCTCCAATTTGAGGCGGCGGCCACTATAGCCAAGAACATGGGCAAGAAGCTCCTCTCGGGAGCAGAAGGCGGCCCAAGGCCGTTAAGAACCGCACCTGGCACTTCCGCAAGGCCCGAGTCTGCAGTCAAAGTCAAAAGAGAACTAGGAAAACTGGTACTACAAGCACTCTCGTGAGTACCGTCTCAAGAGTGATATCCAGTCACGGGCTCGCTTTATACTTGCGACATTTGAGCCCAAAGTGCCAACTTCATTTCATGTGGTTCTTGAGTGGATCTTGTGCATTTGGCTCGGAATGCTCCGTGGTCCCCGGAACGATCATTTCGAATGGAATACCCCAGGAACGGTGTCTTTGGTCAAAGAGATCCGAAAGGATATCCACGAAATTGCAGGCGTTGCCAAGGCACCTACCTGGCTTCCGTTGAATGCTGCATCACAGCTCAGACAGGGCTGCCCATGTGGTCACCGACGTCTTACGTGGGAAGGGTGTGCCCGTACCTGGGTGTAACAATCACGAGACAAAAGAACGCAGATTCCGCCTGTGGCCTGAGAATCGAGCACCATTTGAACTAGCCGGTAAATTGATCTGCAGGCTTTGCCACAAGTCAGCTCGGATTCGAAAAGAAATACCTTCCAAGGAGACTCTTGAGCGTCGAGTCAAGCAGTTGACAAATGATCGAGAGATTCAGCAGTTCCTGCTAGGTCAGCAATGCCAGATGATATCCTGCAGCATCAGTCCAGCATGGATTCAGCGACGATATCTCTTAGGAGATTCGAGGACGTTGGCTCTGACAATCTTGTCATCATCATGTCGAAATGGGCAAGAAGCTTCGACCCCCTGAGGCTATTGCCAAAGCTCTAGCAAGGATCAAACTAAGCCTGCAGCTTAAGCGACAGAAGTGCCCACCTGGTCGGCAATGCCAAATGCCAAGCTTCAGTGCCGTGTGTATGTAGCCAGGCCAGTTCCGTAGGCCTTGTGATGATCATATTCCCTAACAGGTTCGAGGTCGTTGGATGTATTTCTCTTGCTATGATTATGTCTAAAACAATGAAAACTTTTTACCAAATCAAAAAATAGAGAAGTGCCCACTTGGCCAGCAACGCCAAATGCCAAACCGCAGTAATGTATGTACTAAGCCACGCCAGTTCTGTAGGCTTTGCGGTGACGATGTTTCCGAAAATGTTCGAGAACGTTGGATCTGTGAACCTTGTCGTCGATATGGCCGAGCGTACAAGAAGCTTCGGGCCCCTGAGACTATCGCCAAGGCTTTGACCATGAGGGTCTGGAATTGCTTCGATCTGATATACGACTCGCAGCCTGGCTCCTGGCTAGTACAGCAAGATCCTGCCACTGCCGTGGCTAGATTCTAACGATGGAAGATACCGAGTAGGCAATCTAGTAGGATTGAAAAGGCCCCAGTAAAGGCTTCAAAATAGCACTACGGGTGAATCAACATCATCTGGCATGATCTTCTACCCCTGCTCCCTCTTCTATTTTCTTTCCCGGATTACCGGGGCAATGCACATAGTTATCGACAGGTACCCCCCTACCGCACCTTTGATGCAGAGAGGTGTGTGTATCGTTAGTCGTTGTTGTATGGGCCGGCGTTGGCTATTGTGGTTGGACGGGGTTAGCTGATGAGGAATCGAGCGTATTGATTACGCGGCGTGGATGCGGAGAGTAGTGAGGCCGCAGGGGCAGCAGTGAGGCCGTGGAGGGGAGTGAGGCCGCGACAGTAGTGGTAAAGAGAGCCACATTGGTAAGGACGTGAGGTGGTGGAGGCGGCTGCCGGAAATGAAAGATGAGGCGAAAGTACGCCGGTGGCTGCGACCGCCGCGAGGACGTTGCCCAAAAGAGGAAGTTGACACTGTTTCGATCAAGTAGGGTTCAATGGACTTGAATCGATGAGGTGGCCATCGAAGGGTGTTATTGTTGTGGCCACTGGTGGCAGCGGGGGAATTGAGAGATAGCGCGAGGTGGTGATGGCGCCCCCACCCCCCCAAAGGGCAGGGGATAGTGCTGAGAGCAACAGAGTGGTGATAGCGACAGATCAGGAAGCGTAGGACCTGGTTTATTAAAGAGAGCTTTTCAAGTTTTTAAGCGTATAATAAAGAGCCGTTTGATAGTCTCGGACTCTCGGCATGCCGAATCGCGGGATGCGTAAAGCCGGCTCGTTTTCGTTCCCGCATTCGCTTGCTGGAGTACGGCGCTCGATAAGCGCAGGATGGTCAGTAGTTTGTTGTATTGCCCACCATTGTTGACCCATTTTTAATGGCAGTGGCAGACTCGGACTAGTAGCTACCTGAGATGGAATAGAGTAGCTAATCAATTCTATCTTGGGTAGCTTCTAGTTAGTTCACCTTCGGAGGATGGAGACCAGGCCGGTCAAAAAGGGCTTGGAAATCATTGCGCTGCCACGGTAAAATACCACTATACGAGTACATAACTATACAACTGCTCACTAACTGTACTGACCAACCTGCGCTTAACTATGGTCCGTATACCAACGAGCGGCTGGACATCGCCAAGGCGCAAGCTATGTAGGGACCGACTCGGACCGGAGGTAGAGGAGTGCTACGCAGCCTAAGGGGCAAATCTTAGATAAAAAGAAAACTCATTTCCAATTTGAAAATATAAGTATCTCCAGAGTCAAAATATGAGAGTTACACTGTCGCCTCAAAAGGCCAAGACTTTGTTGAGAGGAGGCCAGTGGCTCTCAGAGTGCTTCGTCAGCCAGCACCACCACCACCGTAGATAGCTTCATCTTCATACATCATTCATCTCCCATTCCATCACGTCCCTCTAGTCATCAGATTTCGGTTGGAGTTGTGGCAGCCCGGCACTAAGCTAATCTTCAAGTACTTAATCATCAATAACAATTTTTCAAATACCTGCATCCAATTTTTGCCCATCAACTAAAGGTGATAGGTATACGTCTGAGCTCCACTAGTTCCTCCAGGATTTGTGACAGTTACCGAAGCTGGTCCAGGTAGCCCTGTTATAGGCACAGTCGCGGTTATAGTAGTATCATTGAGAACAGTAAAAGTCGCCGGGAGGAGGCCGAAGAACACAGTAGTTGCAGTGAGGAAGCCCGTTCCCATCAAAGTAACGTTGCCACCTCCACTTATGGATCCGGTAGTTGGTGAGATGGCAGTAAGGGTCGGTGGGGGAATGTATTGATATAGAACACCATTGCTGACGCTAGCAGCTGTTGAGACCGTGACGCTAACGGCCCCAACAGCCTCAGCAGGTGCAACAGCAGTCACCAAGTTATCAGAAATGACAAGGACAGTCGTTGCAGGGACGCTACCGAAGAGCACAGCATTGGCTCCAAACAATCCGGCTCCAGTGATCGAAATTAAATTTCCTCCATCGAGAGGGCCCAGAGCTGGGGAGATCGAAGTGACCGCGGCGGTGGGTTGGAAGCTAAATGAAAGCGAGCTATCTGTGCCACCCGGAGTCGTAATAGTGACTGGAACTGTCCCAACAGGGTGTGGAGGGGCTGTCACTGTTACGAGCGTATCCCCACTCACCGTAATCGTGCCCTGTGAAGGCGTCGATCCAAAGAGCACGCTGCTAGTTCCCGTGAGGCCTATCCCAGTGATAGTGACCGCAGTTCCACCAGTGATCACGCCAGCGGTAGGGAAAATTGTTGTTGGCGAGGGCGGAGTCAGATAGGTATAGGGGAAACTTGAGCTAGTACCGGAAAGCGTTGTCACTGTCACCGGGATGGCTCCAGTAGCGAGCCCAGGCGGAACGGTCACATTGATAGCAGTTGGTGACAGGACCGTGAAAAAGAGAGCTGGGATAGCGCCGAACAGAATGGCTATTGCTGCGTTCAAGTTCGTTCCTTGGATAGTGATTGTTCCGCCCCCAACCAAGGGCCCGGAAGATGGGGTCAGTGAAGTGATTGTTGGCGTCGGGGCCGCCGCATAAGTATAGCTGGGCCCGCTAGGACTGGAACCGCCAGGGCCAGACACGATTATAGTGACATTTCCTCCTGCTGGTGGACCTGCAGGCACAACCGCATTGATGGTCGTGTCGGATAACACAGTAAATGAGGCTGTGTTAGCCCCGAAAGCGACAGAAGTGGCATAAGTAAACCCAGATCCCGCGATTGTGACGCTATTTCCACCTGCAGCTGCACCGGTACTCGGGGATACGGCAGTGGTAGTCGGGGCATTCAATGTGGTATAAGTATAGGGCAAAAGTCCCACTGGTACCAACCGAGTTCGTTACGCTGACTGTAGTAGCTCCTGCTACACCCGCCGGAGCCACTGCGGCGATTTTGGTATCGGAAAGAACAGCAAAGCTCTGCGCATTAGTGATTCCAAAACCGACGCCATCCACAAAGGACAGCCCCGATCCCGAGATATAAATGACGTTGGAGCCCGATACTGGGCCACTGATTGGGTTGAGGGAAGTGATGACGGGTGCCGTGGCAACGACATAATTGAAAAACACCGGTTGCGTGCTAGAGCCGGCGCCGGTGGTGACTATTATTTGGGCAGCGCCTACAGATTTTGCAGGGCTTGTCACCGAGATCGTGGTGGAGGTACTTGAAGTGACCATCGCGTTTGTGCCGCCAAAGGTTACGGCGGTAGGATTGAGAAGATTCGCTCCTACTATAGTAACCGCCGTACCACCCGTAGTAGGTCCAGTTGTTGGAACAACTTGGCTTATGCTAGGAAGAGCCATGGTGAATGAAGAACTTCGGAGGCTGAGTATGGATTTGGAGTGCCGAGTGAGGGGAAGCTATGTCGGACCAAGAGAAGCATATATAGCACATATCGACAGAGATACCTCGAAGAGGAAAGGTGTTGATTGAAGCTTGAAAGGGACTCAAAATATTTGTTCAGGTCATTAACCACATCACGCCATAAATGCAACAGTTGCAATAAATATTGATGGATGGGTCCGAATGCTGTCTCGTGGAGCCATCATGCAGCTCTCCTACTTTGTAAAGGGAATTTGACCATCTATCCATACTATCGCCATCCACAAGCTTTTTGATTTCGCCGCATTAGGCTTATCGGCCGGGAAGCATACTTCGACTTCAGGTTCATGAAACCCACCTTCAAGCTTCTGTGATCTCTATTGCGTTTAGAAAAAAGGAACTGTAGCATGATGAAGCTCTAGTCTATGCATCTGGTCCAATCCTTGCATGTGCATAAATTGATCAGATGATCTGCGATATTCGACGTACTCCAGGGCTCTCCAGCACCCAGCACCCAGCACCCCAGAACCAAAACCAGACGCTGAGTTATGGTATCCTATATCATTTCTCACTGACGTGTGGTCGCTCATCAGAACAGCTTTTTTTCCTTTCATACACAACATACTCCTTGGTCATACCCACAAAGGAATTATATACTGTCATGAGACTTGAAGTGGGCTGCTATTCTTCCCAAGAAAGAAGGTGCACTATCGCTGTCTTTGTGCAACGTTTCACAAAGGGTCTTGAGGTGACGATATCTGAAGGTTCCTAGAATAAATGAATGGTCAAGGAACAGGGTTTTGCTTTGTTCAGGACTTTTCAGTTTTTATGAATTTTCAAGGCTGTTTAGCCTACTAGCCGAAAAACTTCTTTGAGCTCCATCCATTTCTTTCTATTTCAGATATATCGCCCGGGGATCCCAGGAGGGGCTTAGTTCAAGAGAAATGTGATCTATTGATGATCGTACATGCTTCGACTGTATACTGGATCTGCCCATGCCAAAACGTTTAACCTTGCAAATTTAACAATACAATGCTTCCTGCTTTCTAGAAATATTAATTAAAGGAGCAGACAATACTTTGATACGTAGGGTATGAACGAAATATTTGAAATCATGATGATATTTATCCATTACTTCTACATTTGTATTGATATCGCTGCACATCCCGTCACCTAGCTTTCGTACACGTATTACAATTGCGCGATCGACGATTTTTATACTTTAACAAAATAAGGATTACCACTCTCGACTGCCAGAAAATGGAGTGTAGGCTTTAATTTCCATGAATCACCTACAGCAACACAATTAATAACCCCCCCAATAGAAAAGCCTCATTTCCTCCCAGTTTATTAAGTCACACGACGAAGAGATATTTTTATGCTGTGAGCTTACGACATGAAACCTCACACTAATAAGTAATTGGAATGTAGCATGATCTCATGATATCAGTGTTTCTGATAGATGCTACGTTCCGCAATATTATTTTCTTACCAAATGTCTTTTGGCTACTACTCTTATAATTTGAAAACAGACCAGAACCCCACAGTTCATGAGTTTTATGATATCTAACGACCTGAGAAACTTTCGGGTGAAGGCTTGCCTCTTTGGAATTAGAAGCCCAATGATTCATACGATTGTAATCATACTTAGTGGGGCCGTTACTGCTTCCACAATGGCCACATCCTCTCAATATAGCGACGCCATGTCTTCCATTTCTTCGAATACTGCTATCCCCCCTGAAAATCCTAAAAATTCATCGCTGGAAGCAATCCCAACATTCGATGAGGAATCTACGGCAGCTGCCTCCTCATCTCCACAAAGCTCGAACCCCAATACCAGGAGTAAAGACTCGTCAAAGGTCTCATCTTTCAGCTCTAGCTTTTACATGTGCTGCCAAGCAAATCCCAATAGCATTACTATCGACCACTATTATCCACCGTATGCGTGTATATTCGGGCCTGAAACTGGGCTGTGCCCTCAGGGAGTCAACTCTTCGTTTATCTTTCCATGGCTATGTGCCGTCGATTCAGGCTGGAAGGCTGGTCAGATTGTGCGTGTCTCGAGGTTACATTGTTGAATAAATCACTGACATTCCATGCAGAACTGCACTTATAATACTTCTATCTGATTGAACACCAATTTCGCTATTCATGAAAACCACAAAGTCATAAGTATCATTTCACGAAGAATTTTGTTGCAGGACAAGAGGAGATCCTGTGGATACCTCTCTTCCCTTCTTCCCTTCGGTTTCGATACTCTGTGAATAAAATATTTCTTGAAGTATAGGCGACTGGCAGAGACTTTATAGGCCGTTGGGCAGATTTCATGATTAGGATTATTGCCAGGCTAATAAAATAAAGTTACTACTATCTCTAACCGCATCCCGGTTTGGAAACGGGGACCATGAAAATTAAGAAACGGCTAGTTAGACCGCTCGTGATAATAATTTTCATCACAGGCGCAGTGAAGTCAATGGTGGATCAAAATTCCGAATTGTCACTACAGAAAAGGGGGAAACATTTTATTATGGACGAAATTGCCAGGTGTATCAATATTAATGAAATATCAAACAAAAATCCAATCCATCCCCGACCGATAAATTTCGCCAATCCAGGAAACAGGGGTTATACTTTCATCATTCCGAGTCCAAAGGTTCTGAAGTACATCCGAAGCGTTTTTCACATTCTGACAGCGCCATATGTCCCAGAGGTGTTCAAACACCCGAACAATAGCCATTCTTTGTGATCGATCCTTTGCCTCCGCCCCAATGACGAATGCAGGCCACACCAGCCCCTTAAAAAGGGTGTCTTCGGGGCTTATGGATTCAATGTGTAATATCGTCGGGTCAAGAGAGGCTGGAGTATCAATGTGAATATTTTGACCATGAGGAAGTTGGCACAAAACCTGAGACATGTAAATCGCAACAGAATGCTTGTATACGCTCGCTAGATGATATCGTGTCTTCATCAATTCAGGCTTATCGCTTCTAATTGCCCATTTCATTGGTGAAAATCCATGCAATGCTGGCAAAATCTCTGTTGTGAATTCACTTAGGATTGACTGCGATCTTGAAATGTTGTTTAGAATGGAGATGATATAGAGAAGCTCCGCTGGACAACCTGCCCATAACTCGCTATCGGAGAATCTCATCATTTCACGTGGTGATATTTCTGAAAGCAAGGGTTGGTAATCGGTTTTGCTTTGGATAAAGGTAGTGCCCAGAATATGTAGCCTTGATGTGATAGTCAGAAAAGGCCTTTGATGCAAGATTGTTTGAGACTTACGTTGCGTAGGTCATTTCAAGGCACCGTTCATACCTCGCAAAATCAAAGAAAAAACATCTTCCAGGTTGGAATTTGGCCGAGGATTTCTGTAGTTCTGCAATTTCTTTCAGGGCATCCAGATGGTATCTCCAAGAATTCGTTCCCGAGTCCATGCAATCCTGCCAAACTAGTAGGAGTATTGAGGCAATTGTACCCTCAATATTTCCAGAATCACAGCTTGAAAGCTCCTTTTGGATTTGTTGCAGGGCATGTTGCTTGTGTTTCAGGGAATCGTACACTGCACGTGGATCGTCTTCGATGATATTCGTGCGTGGTGAAATGGTCATGCAAGCATCATCTCCCAGGGTTGGTGAATGTTCAAGCTTTACAGCTCGACCATTCGATTTTCTCCGAGCTTGATGAAGGGCTGCGATAGACATCATCGCATGAGAGAGTCCCTTGCTCGAAGGGATTATCCGCATAAACTCCCGAAAGGGATTGGTTGCATCGGAATCGTAAAGCGCACTTTCAACAGAGCAATACCGATCAACTGTTTTTAAGTTAGAAATGAATATATTATATTTCCCATACCGACATACAGTATTTTATATATCCCCGATTGATAGGTGACAAGTCTTGCACTGCTGGGTCTTCAAGTGACCTTATGATCGAGGCAGACGACTTATTAGCATCAATTATAGGCACGCGTTTCCCCATAAGTTTGCCTCGACTAGCGACGCCATTGGTCCACCTTAAAGGCCTTGATTCATTATATCCTTGGCAATGCTCTTCGCCAGCTAAACACTTATGACACTCCGGTAGCGCTCGGTCGCATTTGACGCGGCGACGGCGACACGTCCAGCATGAGGTCGATGAATAGCCCCTGCTTGTTCCGCTCATGAAGTTCAGTTTCGGTATTATAAACTCAGATCCCAGTCGAATGGCTTTTCATAATATCGGAGTTCGTGTCACGATAACATTCAAAAGATCTGGAGGAAATCTTTACAGCAAGGACTCGCGGGGAAGAGCTTTGCACTAATCTGCTTTAGGCAGCCAAGACGCGGTGGCCAAAATGAAGCATCATAATTGGTGTAGATCAGATATTTGTGGAACGGCTTCCTGCGTCACGACAAACTGACAAATCAAAAATCGCGACCATGGAAACCGGAAGCTTGACTAGATCCATGCGCGAACCTCACACTTTATACCATCAGAACTCTTGGCTGCCTTTTAAGGACTAGTCTTACTACTTTGAACGATGCAGCTATCGGAAACTGTACGATTTCCAAAGCTCACTGGCATCTGGGCAGGCTGTAGGGGGGTTCCGACATCCCCTGCCTGGCTGATATATAATCTAGGACTGGTAGGTCTCCAGGTAGCGACCGGTGCGTCCGAGTCCTCTAATCTGAATTGAAAAAATCCATCTCACACCTCCTGCACCTCCAGCCTGAGTGTCTCAAAGATTCGGATGGTCATGGCCAGCTCACGTTTAAAATTGAAAATTCCATCGCAATACTATATCATTCATGACCCTAAAGGAGAAAGATGCGCCCAGCCTATTTCTGGAACTGCCATTCTTAGTACTGGTTTCACTCAACCGGAGACTTCAAATCAAAATGTGCTTCATATTTGCCTGATTTGTGTTCTCACGACGACCGAGAAGAAAAGCAGAGTCGAAAAAAGATTGTTGGGTCGATTCACTCGATGGAGGTTGGAGAAGCAGAGTTCGCTTCGAAAAGGTGACCTAGTACGATCCTGCTCGGTCATTGAAGAATTGACCCTCCAACCATTTGCCAACACTTGCGGACAGCTCCGCTGCAATATTCCCTTTTTATTGCCAGTTCCTGGGAATATACCAGGGACATCGATCACAGACATCGGAGAAATATCATACTACCTTGTTGCAACTTTGAACACGGGAAACGGCACAGACGCGGAAATTACCCACCAAGAGATCAAGATTACCCGTCAAATCTTGCTAGAACAACCTTCGCTTCAGCACATTCGGAATTATCCTGGCTTGAATCTCATTACTAAGATTATCCTTACACAGGATGTTGATTTAGCGACGCACTCCAAAATTCCAGTCAGTGCGAAGGTGTTCGTCCGACCGGCGAGACCCGCAGATCGCCCAATCGAATACCGATGCGTGGCGGTACGTGGAATTCGATGGCGAATCGAAGAAATGACAAAGGTCTTCAGCCATTCAGCAGATGAAGACAAAAATTACCAGCCATGCCAGCCTATTGCAAGTCGATGCTCGACAAGTGTGATTTCCAAAGGAGTGCAGAAGGGGTATTGGAAGATCGAGCAAGTTTCCACGAAACGAGCATCGTCGCTGCGGCATGCAGACCTATCAGTTGACATCCCGCTTGAATTATCGCTGAGTAGAGACTTTGACACCACTTCAGCGGTTGATTTGAGATGCTATGATGTCTTTTCGACGCCAACGAGCAACTTGAGTGCAAATTTGAAAGAAATTGGGGTTTATACAAAAAAAGATGACATGATGATCACTATCGAACATCGGCTGAAACTCGATATATTGATGTTAGAGGATACATTTTGCGTCTATAAACATGAATTGGTTGATCGGAGACCTCTACAGACTGCACTTGACGCGTCATTTCCTCTCCAGATCAGCGCAAGAGCCAGGGGCAATTTGGAAGCCGTGCCGAATGAAGTCAACCCGCCCTCTTATAATGAACTTCCTATTCGTCCTCCTCATTATATGCAAGCAACTTGATGGTTAAATTGAAGAGCGAATCTTTTTTCCGAAAAAAAGTTAGAATTTAGTAGTGTTCGCATTCTAGCTGAAATATGAGACATAAGGAGTAAATACAGAGCTTTCAAACTAGCCATCATATGCTTAGCCTCAAGTAATCATGCTGAAGATGCACGTATCTCCTGATACTCCTTCATATTGCCAAGCTCATAGTACGGGACATGGAAGATCGAAACAGACATCACTCCCGGAGAGCTAGTTTCTTCATCGGCATTCTCGCCAAACTTCTCGACCGAATGGAACATTCCCGGATCCACGGTAAGAATATCCATCAGTGCGAGTGCCTGATCCATACCCATCGAGCGACCGATCATGCCCAGACATTGCCTTACCCAACGACGCTGTGGGTGATTGGGTCCCTCGACCATACCAGCAACGAATAAAGGCCAGAGCAACATTAGCCCACCGATATAAGTTTCGGAAGGCAGCATGGGCCTTCCAGGAAGAATTCCTGCGTTGCAAGCACCTAGGTGGAAAGGTACGCTGCGGCAAATATCCGCACCGAGACGACGTATTGTGGAGCGCAAGGATTTGCAGTGTAAACGGAAGTCTTCAGATAAAGAACCGTGAGGTGAAGTGCTAGAGACTTTATGGACGTTCGCTAAAATTAGCTCACTGACGATGATTCGTGCACTTCGATAATGGTTCCAGAGATTTGGGGACCATAGGTCTGGGTAACTGTGATACTGGTTGTTTAAAGGTCGAATTCCACCACAGATATGTTCGAAGCTATGGTCCGTTGGCATCACTGTGTGACTGCTATATGTGAAATCTGGTGGTAAAGCAGCTAGCCAGGCCATGAGGTCGGCTTCGATGGCACTAGCGGCAGCCAGGATTTGCTGCGGGTCGTCGAGAATCTTCCCTTGAACATCGGCTCGAAGATTGGAAAGATTTCCAATGATGATGATCAATCTGTTTCCGAGCGCATCCCTTATCTCAGGAATAGGTCGAGTTTGGAACAGTTCATTAAGGAATCAGGTACTCTCAAGTCTCGCTGGAGACAGCTAACTATCTGTAAATCGGTTAGACGCGGCTTTCCTTCTCGTGTTCCCTTTTTTGGGGAAGTAATTATGCACGAACAATTTGGTATCTCAAATGCAGAAAAAGACGAACACCCATCACAGTTGTCATTTGTGCAAATCCTCGGTGCTCCAGAAGGGCTGCAGCTCCGCAAATATGATTTGTCCAGCCCTGGATACTTTGAGGGGCTCTCGATGTGATAACCTAACGATGTCAGCAGTTGATTTGGCATTGCTTTTGATTTTGGAATTGGCGGAGCTTTACCTCATACAAAGACATAAATACGACCGCAAGTAATGCCTGATTTGTCCTAGACTGAACGGGGTCGGCTAGTGCTGCATTGACTAGCTTGAGTGTAGATCCATACTCCTGACGCGCCGCCTGCTTTAGGGAGGGTACATTGCGAACCCGCGAAAGCATCGCACCAGCGACGGCATAGATACTAGATTGTACAGCTTGCTGACCTAAAGATCCGCCGGAATCCATCAGGAAATTTGTCAAAGTGTCCGTCATGAGGGAACTCCCGGGAATGCTATGTGATTGAAGAAAGAAGCAGATAGCCTGCTCCTTCGAAAGTCCTTCTGTGGGGTTTGTGATCACTGCACTTGGCCTTATTTGGCGCATAATGTATTGGTGACCGGGATCTGAGTTGAAGTCAAAACTTGTCTCAGCGTTTGATCCAGTAGACCCTGTTGTCGAGGGGGACCGAACATGCCGTTCAGGGTAAGCGTTGCGAGGAGGGTCCTATAATGTGGGACGATGCATACGAAGCCGACGAAGCAGAACTCGAGCTTCCTGCTTTACGCGCTGTGGCTTTAGTCACGTCTCGGAATATAAGATCCAGCTGGTCGCGGTATCCTGGACATTCTCTCTTCGTTCGAATGCATTGATCGCAAGCCGGTCGGCCCTGGTCACACCTTATTTTGCGTTTGCGACACATATGGCAACCCTTGCTAGGTTTGCCGCAGTATACCATGACTGAATGATTTTCGAGCTGAATTTGACGCAGACTTGAAAGATGAAGAGAAATAAATGTTCATCAGGCTGAAGAATGCGGAGATGTCCTTCGGTTTTTGGCTGGGGAGTTTGGCACACAACTGAAGTGGCCCCCACCAAAGGCCAGAGAGATCAACTAAAAGTCTAACCTAGATAGGCGACGCTCTAAAAAAAAGAATTTGTCACTGACAAGGCGTGACGGTGACGACTGGTGTATTTTATTTTACCAGACAAGCCATTTTACCGAACTTCTCCGACAGCACCTTGCGTGTTGCTATTTTCTTGATCGGCACTGCATTTCGATGTACATCTCGGTTATTCTTAACCAACGAAGATCTAATTTGCCCAAGGAATCTCACTCAATAGCACCTTTTTTGATGGAATTATTGAGCGCCGAGTGCCCCAACTGGATCGCTCCTCCTGAGATACCTTGGTCCATTCATTTCGCGAAAGGCGAACCGCTGTGCCGCCCCGAGAGAGCATCTCCTTCTGGTATTCCCCCATGACACTGTTGAGCTCGTTGCCGCCATCGGTATTTTTGACTATCAGAGTAATTGCCTTTGACAGATGAAGAGCGTCGCGCATGGCCTGGACCCCACCCTCTCCACGGACTGCATATTTCTATTAGCACGACAGGGAAATAAAAAGAGAAGAATTGTGCACTTACAAGGTGTCATGCAATGAGCCGCATCTCCGAGCAAGGTCACTCTTCCTGTTGGGAGATCTTGGAGCTCCAATTCCCGGAGGCACATTTGAATGTCTGACACCCCCTGTACTCCCGTTTGACGAATTATCTCCGTGAACTCAGACTTGAGATGGCTTGTCTTTTCCAATGCTAGCTCGTATCTTCTGGCTTTGTTTGCATATGATGTCCAATGAGGGAGGTTTGATGCGGCCGGGTCGATATAGCTCACAGACCAATAATAGTTGCCCGACTTTCCGTCAGCATTGACAGAATTCAAACCAACGAATATTCTTCCGCTACCTTCATCTTGCGAGTTTGCATCATGTGCCACATACCCGCTATACCCCAACTCAAGTTGCTTTTCAAATTCTTTCCCGGATAGAACGACCTCCCCAACAACCGTGGCAATCGGAAGCACATGAACTGGATCCGGCTGTACCAAGTATTGGCGTATAGCGCTGTTGACACCATCCGCGCCGACCAAAATGTCACCGATTGCACTTGAGCCATTCTCAAAGTTTACCCTGACGCGATTTCCTGGAATTTCTTCAAGTGTGGTAGCTGCACTACCGAAATTGATATGGATATTGGTTGCAAGCCATGATCTTAGACGCTGCCGGTTGCATCGAATAACAGCCTTACTTCCGGCGTCCTGTACACCATAACGAGGCTCGACCTCATTGCTACCATAAAATATCATCTGCGCGGGCAATGAAAGCGGCAAAAAAATGTCCGTCAGATTGATAGGCGGCATGTCCGAGGAAAAATGCTCCAACAGGTCATCGATGATGCTGTCCGATATTTCAGTGATTTGTAAAGGGCCAGAACCAATGGGCAAAATACCTATGAATTCCGATAGCCCAGCCTTGAAAACGGGAATCCGAGGTTTTCTCAAACACCTGGAAAGATATGCCTTGCTTTCGCAGAGCCTGAGCGAGAACTAGGCCACCAAGTCCCGCGCCGATAATCAGAACATGAGGCTTATCCTGTGAAGCCATCGTCTTATAGAATTTGGTTGAATCAAGCTTGGGCCCAGATAAAGTATCAACCGTGGTTGTGTATCTCAGTCAAGATCTGGAAGAGAGTCTCGAAATCTTATACTCACGGGACATGCGCCCTCGGAGCTCGCATAAGCTCGCATAACACGGCCGAGATTCATAGTGGCAAAATATTTCAGAGATAAATTTCACGAAATTGAAAGCCGAGATCAAGCTGATCATGATTATTAATGGGCTCTATACAAGTTTAAACTTTGCAAATGTCCAGATATGGTACGACAGTCAACAATCGCCATATCTAACTTAATATTGTCTAGTTTCTCCAAGACCAGGGCGGTGAATAATTTCATCAACAGTTCTTCAGCCTTGCGATCTGTATTTGAAATACAGAAATGGGAAATGCGGCCCCATGCAACCTTGTGCTAAAAAGTGGATTACATTGCCTCTTGAGCTTGGCATATGGTTACGCGGCAGGGCAGTTGTCCATTCACACACTATAGCTCATGTCCTAGCTCGACCTAATTCAAAAAGGAAGTCCCAGCATGACTCAACAGAAATGACCGCTTCCAATCTATCGGTATTTAGAGAGCCTTGGGGGCGTTGGGGGCGTTGGGGGCCAAAACCATTCTTTAAACGGGAATGTTAGACGATTCTCCTGGAGTTGCTTAGAAAATGGGCGTTCGAATATCAAGCAGCAATTTTTACACGAATAAAAAGTCGCTGCCTGGGTCTGGAACCCTCTGCTTAACATTTTATTAGATTATTTTTTACATTATCCATCCAACGGGAACCTTGAAACGTGATTTTGTGTCGATCATTCACTCCGCGAATAAGTGGAGATTCCTGCAGACACTGCTTGTTTCCTGCGGCCTACGTGTCTACATACAAACAAGGCTGTGTATAATCAAGTGTGCACGATATGTTACGAAAAATCTGAGTAATCTGACAAATCAAACATCAATTCGCTTAATTGCATGAATCATCTATTATGGTTTTCGCTATGCAACATGACGCGAAAAATATGAATACAGCCGGCAGATGATCAAAAACACGTTTGCATCAACTTGGGAATATCACCATCCATGATAGCTCTCGCTATTGTCCAAAGCCATTAGCTATGGGCAAGCCCTTTTCCTTCATGATATATTCCAGCTTGGTAGCCGATTGCTGTAATTCCTCCTGACTGGGCATATTCATAATGACCAAATACTGCACATTCGGCTGCAGAACCTTCTTCATTGAGCCCAGGCCCCGAGTATCCTTCCCAAAGCGCGTCCATATTGTGTCATTGCTTGATTCAATTGAATCTATGCTCCGGGTAGCTCGCTTGGCATCTTGAGCTTCCTTGATGGAAGCAGCAGCACGATGAATCAGTCCCGGCTTGCTTTTGTTTCCCAACCTCCCACCTGTAATGGCCGATATGAGCTTCCCATTATGTGCTGAATGGGTGGAGCCGTTTTGGTGCGGGTCTGAGCAGTTTAAGCTATGTCCGTACGACATTCGTGAAGAATTTGCCTTCTGTTCCTTGTCAGCAACCAGCAACCAGCAACCAACAATCAACCCGAATATGATGTGAAAATGGGGATAAATCTCACTTCTGAGTCTAATTTCCTTCTCTCGTATTGATCACCAATCCAACCACCTGCCGCCCTAAGCATTTTGTGTTTCTCCTTACCGCCTGGTCCTGCTCTCTCCGTTTTCTCCGTTCTCTCCGTTCTTTCTGTGACCCCCATGCCCGCGCAATCTAAATCAGGAAACACCAACGGCCTGGATTCGGGTAACTCAATCTGAAGAGAGACATTGTTTCCGGAAGCTTTCGAGTTACGCTCCATGTTTCCTGGCCGGAAAGAGCTCGGACATGTATCTTTTTGGATAGTTGTACCCTCATAGAGATCGGTGCTTGATTTGGGGGTCATGGCCGACTCGGTCAAATCAATCTTCTCGGAAGCGAATATGGTTCTACCCATTCTCTGGGAAAGTGGATTGAGCAAGCCTTCCTGTTGACCAAAGACATTATCCTTGAACTCCACAATCATAGCACAGAGGCCTCGAGGCATGAATATTAACTCGTTGGCCGAGTCCACGAAGCTTGGGTCGCGGCCAGCATATCGTGACCCAGGAATTGACCCAGCCACTATTTTCATGAGAGTTTCGGTCATAACATCTGTCTTTCCAGGTACCCAGGTAACGATATCCGTTGCGATACCGATAACATCGAGACTTCGAGAGATCTAGTTCCGACATTAGCATGCTTGTTTCTTACATTTTGCCGAAATACTCAGGGAGCACTCACTTTGCTTGACTCGTAAACCTCTTCCAGAAACTCCAAGAACATGTCCTGGCTGATGCCGCAATCCGCCAATTCAGGTGCATATGCGCGCACGAAGCCACGAAACTTCGACCCGGGCCTGCGTTGTGGAATTACTACGGGGCCAGGGATCTGGATTGTGGAGGAATTTGGCGGCCCTGCCATATTCAGAAGATCGCGAATCATATTTTCGATTTCCTGTCGCTCCTTTTCTCTAGCTTCGCCGACCTTGTTGTCTGCTGGCACATTTGAAACATGACTGGGCGGAATTCCAGATTCTTCGTATGCCGGGGGTCTCGCGTACCCTGTTGTCTCATCGAGTGTCCAGACCGCTTCATCTTGATTAATGCCGCGATTGGGGTCGGTTGAATAATTTGACTCGCTGTACGCATCCCAGTTATCCCTTTCTACAGGGGAATATTTGGTATCGTACCCATCGACTGCGTCGAGCTCTTCGATCTTCTTGGTGTTGATATCTTCATATGAAACACTTGGAAGCTCTGCATAATTCTCATGGAGCTGCGTTTCGGATCCAGGAAGCTCGGCATATTTTTCGTCCGGAAAGGAAAATGAGGCAGGGAGCTCTGCATATTGTGTGTGGAGAGAGGGCACACCGGGCGCTGGAAGCTCTGCATATCCTTCGTGGATGAGCGCGCCGGCTACCTTGTCGTCTGCAATGACAAATTCACCGCTCTGATCAGCGGTAAGTTCGCGTTTTGTGGTTAGATCGCGGCTTGAGCTGTAGGAAGATGAACGATTTCGAGCTGCATTGATGGCGTCGATACCCGACCCGACAAGTTTAACGACCAATTTACCCATGTTTGAATAGTAAGTGACTTGCAAGTCTGGGGAATCTACAGTAGTGAGAAAGGTGGGTATTCTTCAGATCTTAACCTGAACATCAAACACCGCATTTCTATTTTCAGCACAGCTATAACCTAGCCCCCGATCAGCGAGGACCACAGCATGGGCTGTTCACTACGCTAGCTATGCAAATGGCCGCAATGTTAGCCTAAATAGGCTGCGATCAACTATTTTGCACTTTAGGGCAGTTAGGCCCACTTTTGCCGTGGACCCAACGCCGCTATCTCTGGGATACGTCGCTTGCATCAAACATGGCCCCCAAATTACGAGGCCTGCATGAGGGGTTAGCCATTTTAAGCACAGACGATGAAGATATGATTTTCTTTCATGAACCAAAGACCCAGTACCATGGAAGCTTTCCAAAATGTTGAGAGAATATTGTCCACGTGTACTTGCGGTAACTAGTTAGTAATTCACCTACCGTACGCGGTGTTCTTCGGGTAGAATTATGAAAGCCACGTTCTTCTCAGACGACAAAGTACCACCTTTACCCTATTTGTGTGAGTAATCATCATGCTAGCATCTGGAAATGGATACCGAAGCCTCTATCTCACCATGAATGAAATATTAGCATCGTTATTATCATTATAATTTACTAGCAGTAACTAAGAAGAGAGTTGCTTTGTACCGAGTGAGATTGAGCATTGAAGAACAGAAATAAATTCGTGAAGCTGCCCCAAAAGAAAAAATAAAACGCCAATCGCGATGCGCAATTATTATAACAGAAAACGAGAATCATCTAAGCCATCTCCTCTCTCAATTCAGTCTCCTTGTTTGGAACGGTCTTCCAGTTCTTTTCCCGAACATGCAAGGTAAAGCCAATACTCAAGCAAACGAAAACAATGATCATCTCCTCAAGTACAGACATCACCAGCTGAACCGTGGTGTTTCCGTCCAGGGCGTTGAATGTATTGTTTGCCACAAACCAGAGCAAGATAGCGTAAATGGTTCGGATAAGGAGAAACGGAACACAGACAGCCACAGCGAGCAAGTTGCGATTCTCACCTTCTGCGATCTTTGAGCGCCGCAGAAACAGGACGGCGAGACCAATGCACAGAAGGACCCAGCTGACAAAGTACAAGATCATGCCAACCTTCACTTCGGTGTTTGGCGTCTTCAAGGCCTCGGGAGTCATATTCCATGTAATTCCAGTCACAGTCATAGCCAGCGCGACGATGGTGATGACACGAAAAGCGGTAAATGTGAGTCTGTGAAGGACAGGTCGGGCCATGGATTGGTTTGCTCTCGATAGCATGCCTGAACAAGCCATGAGTAAGGGAGATAATCCAACGGAGCTGCAGATCGCAGCCGCAATGTAAACTCCAGTCGAGTGATTGTGGATAGTCGCCAATTCACAACAGGCGCCGACTATGCGGACGAAGGTGAAAATGACGAGGAAAATAAAGCCGCCCGAGCTTCTAAAGCCATGACGGTAAACCAGGAAGCTGGACACGAAAAATGATGGGAGGTATGCGATGAGCTGAAGGATAGAGACGCCGTCCGCGTATGTGATTGAGCCCATGATGAGTGTGTATTTTGAGTATGGAGGAGTGGAACTGAGTGAAGAGGATTGAGAGCCTCGTAGGATTGATGAGGGGCGAGGAGGAGTAAAGATAAATGTAGATGAGTGGTGATTACTTTTTCTGTGGATGTCTGTGCAAGGTTGCAGAAAGCTTGGTATTCCTTGTGCTTATATACTCTAGTGAAATTACTTGTCAGAAAGGTCTTCAGCAGTGCCAGCACAAAAATAGAACTTTAATGTCAAAGCGAGTATTTGCAATATGGCGATCAACGCTCGTTCGCAAGTCGATAGTGCATCTCTGTTACTAACTCGAGCCTTACGTTGAGTAGAGTGGAGGCTTAGGATCAAGCCTCGACCCGCTTATCGGGGCGGCCCCTTGACGCTCATTTGCTCTCGCACTGCTGTATCAAAAGAGGTTAGGATCTACACAGGGAGCCTGGGGAGAATCAACAAGCTCAACATGGGGGCCAAAACTCTTTCGAAGCTCCATCGAATCCCCCACCGAGGTTTGGAGTGGTAAATGATTCAGGACCAAGCTATTTTCAAGTCCGACTCCCAGCCCCTGGTCCCGATAAATTAATTTTGGCCCTTGAGAACTTGCATACGAGAGATTTAACTATTTTTGGCAATTTCCGCCCCTTCAAATGCAAGCGAATTAGAATTTAGCTCCGCGTGAAGTCTGATAGCTTCCTGTTCAGAAGGATTTAACCCAAGACTTAAAAAAAAAAGGGAGAGTGTCAATATGCCCAAGGCTTATAAAATAAGCGAGAAAGTCAAAGAGAGAAGATATTGATATATAGTGATCTTCAACTGCCCAGTGTTGTTATGCCTAAAATGGTACACTGGTCCGTCTTTACTACCACATAAGGCTGAGAAGTAGATAAATACTACGGTAGTTAGCTAGTAGTAATTGATTCAATTTGCGGGATTCCGGGGAATGACAGCGGCATTTCGACGACTAGTACCTAGGTTAAAAAGCCAGTATTATTGCTGCAATTCAGAATCACTCCGAGTCTGGTCTATATATTTCCAACTTGAAGGTTTATCCACCTCCAAGTTCGCGTTCTGATAGAGTCAACATCCATGGATACAAGCGACCAAGATAGCCACCTCAACAATGTCCATTTCCACATTGGCGTTCTCTCCCTGGCAGCAAGGGGTCCTGCGCTACCTGACACATCCGCATCCACAACTTCCGGATCAGAGCCCCTCGCGCTTGCACTTGTGAGGTCGTCGAAGAAACACTCCAATACCAAGATCGGTGCTGATCCACGATAACAAGAACGTTCCAGCCAATCAGCCCATTTCAATAGATATGTCCCATGATGAATCATTTTCACGGCGCGCACTGTGCATTGTCTGGATCATTTAAAATCTAGGTCGAAGGGAATGCCACCTACTGTCGCACAGGCACCGCGTCGCAACTTCAAGTTGAATGAAATGATCTCCTTCGGCACTCATCTGACTTCTGAGATTTGGACGTGTCCCCGTGACACTTCGCTCAAAGATCTTCAGACTCAGTTGTACAAGAATCTGGAGCTTTCGTCGCCCAACGATGAGACGGTAGACTACATCCGTCTGGTGCTGAATAATGCCCTCTCCCTCTCGGGAGCCTTTCTGCTTGAAGGGCTCAATGAATGGACTTTGTGAGGTAAAAACTTCCTCAGAAAGGTGCTTGACCTCATTAAGGAAGCCCAGTACCCACATGCGATCTTTAATAAATACAATGCTTCGACTCCTGTGGGCCATGGACAACCGCCCGGTTCCTAAATATGGTCTCTATCTCGTGATACTATGTACATTGGGATTCTGTGGTTATGCCATCTTAGCCAAAGTCGTCATGATCCGAAATCTGATGAAGGATTATGTTTGCTTTCTGTTTCTATTGTATTATAGTAACATCACCTAAATAGAATCAAATGCAAATCCGCTACGAAACTTCCAACGCACTAATCAAATCCTTCGCATATACCGCAGCAGTAATTGCCGCATATCCCTGCCACCGATTGTTCTTATGAGAATCCGAATAATCAGAAATACCCCGTATAACAAGGCAAAGAAAATGATCCATCAACCCAGCCGCTTCCATCTCAAAACAGAGAATCCCAAGCTCCTTGGCTAGATTCATCATCTTTTGACCATCCTTTATGACCTGATTACCCGTTGCAACGATACCGTAATGCACATAGGGACCATCATGACTTCGGACAGCTCTAGAAACCAATATTTCCACATCGCACTGAGAACAATCGGGCATCCACTCCCATGTCCATACGATGCGTCGAATAGCACATCCTCCCGACATCCAGGGAATACAAAGATGGGATTTTGAAAGACAAGTTCACCAATAATTTTCGATATGTGCGAAGGATCACTTAAATGATTCGTTTCGATGCGACTCATAGCAGTGAGAAGTGCCGGGGCTGGCTTCGCCAATTGACCTATTCGTTCAAACTTTCCGTTGGCCATTGCCTTGCCGTAGTCATATTGGATGATTTGCTGATTGACAACCACATCTCCGAGTCGAATATCTGTATGATCTGGCACCCCGCCACCAATTCCGACGAGCAGGATATATTTGAGAGATCGGAATGTCGCATTCATTCGATCGGCTACGACTGTTGCTGAAGTACTCCCCGGAACGCCGTGGGGTAGGCAGGTGATGACAACATTATGGTTCCCGATACTTCCCAAGATGTATTGATTGGGGTCTTTCTCGAGACATTTAAGTGGTAGATGCAGTTTGGTGAGCATCAGTTGCGCGGCTGCCATTTCAACTGCCAAAGGGCAAATCCAACCGATTGAGTAGTCGGCATGGTCCAAAGGCGCCGATGCAACGGAACACGAAGAGATACTTCGCCGATAGCTCATATCCAAGGCTCCAGATTTGTTAGTGGCTTTAACACGGAAACCTCAATCCTTGTCCTCTTTGAGACAATGTCGTAAATTGTTTCGGATATCACAGATGCCGGGAACAATGCCTCGTCATCATGGCTGTGTCGAGGATTTGAGTCCGGGTATCTTTCCCTATGTTGATTTTGTAAATAGGAGTGCCGATCTCTAGTCTCTGGAATTGCGTAATATTCCAAATCCAAGGCTATTTGCAAATCCCCTTCACGCTTGCTCTTTTCCAACAACTGCCCCAAGGATTCGAGCTTTTGCTCAGCCTCAGAAATCAATTGTACTACGTCCATTTTCTCTTCATGTAGCTTGAAAATCGGAGCATATTTCTTTCTTGTCGCAGCCATCCAGTCTTGTGCAGTGATTAGTAGACAATCCGGAGCAGTCTCGCCATCAAATTGCAAGGAAAAATCCTCAATCTCGAGTTGTCGCATGCGCTTTTTCCAACTCGCTTATCTCTTTCGTACCGCAATGAAGTTCTATTCTGGCTACAGCCTCGGCTTCATCAATAAGGTCGACAGCACAATCAGGAAGAGGTCGTCTTGGTAAAAAGTGCGTCGCAAGATTAGCGGCTGCGACAATTGTGGCATCAAGGATATTAACTTTATTTGTAGCTTCCGAGTCTTTTCTCATGCCCCGAAGAAGGGAGACTGTCTCGATTATAGAAGGCTCAGCCGTCAAAACAGGTTGAAACTGATCGGAGGAGGAGAAACTCCCATAGAATTCGTCTAAAGAAGTCGTAACAATGCAGCGAATTTCGTCCCCTTCTAGCACAAGCTTGAGTAGCTTGATGATATCCTTCTTATCTCCACTTCCCAGCGTGTGACGACAGGAAATATCGATTCATAGAATCGCCGGATAATTCAAAGAGCGCATGTGATAGGAGATGTGCTTGCACCGCTCCTCCAAATCCCAAAGTCCGGCCTCCAAGAATCCCTTTTGCACAGGTAGAACTCGGTATCGCTCAAGTTCCGACGGAACCTTAGAGCTGAGAATCATCGAAGCCAATACTTCCATAATGAATCTTCTTGTCATGCAAGACTCACCGGCAACAACGGGGGTTCTTTTCCGTCTCCGGCTCAATATTTGTATGATTTCCCGGGTTTCATCTTCATAACCAACAGGATGACGAGTACGGTTGCGTTGGACCACTTCTATGTTATCAAGCGCGAATGTCTGGTCAAGCCTAATATTGAAAGTCTCATTTGCACTTGTATCGAGGCATAATTTGGATCGTATTTCGAGAATTGCTGTTCTTATTAGATCAGGATCGGAAATCCCTGATTCCTTCAGAGCATCCTGAATCTCGTGAACCCGAACAACAGCTTGGATTACATGATCTATGGCAGTCAAATCCTGACCAGGTTTTAGTTTCTGTGCTGCGAATCGCATGACTCTTGCGCAAGCTGCTGACATTGGGGGAAGTTCCTGCGACGGCACGTCTTCTGTATGCATTTTACCCAGCAAAGCATTCAAGACATGGGCAAGTTATTCAGGAAAGCCACCCGCTTGCGCTATGACTTGTTCAAAGATAGTATGGCGAGGTTTGAGTGGTTTCTGACGTCTTGATACCGTCGTCGTGAGAAGGGCATATACCAGGTGAGCTGTTTCGATCTTCGTATTTCTTCCCCTTTTCGCAACTTCGCCAGCACTTAAGAGTACCTTGTTTAGGGCATCCGTGTATTCTGTTGAAGTGAGTGCCATCGTGAGCCAAGACTGGGCGAACTACTAGTAGATTCGATATTCAAGGTCAAGATGGGTGAACGCTGTCAGATTCCTCGCGTTAACGTGATGGACGCTTTTCATTGGGCTGAATAGGAACCAATCATGCAGATAGATGCCTACCTTGCTTTTGGCAATGTCCCATACCTCTTTTATAGGTACGTGCTCGATAAGCGCAGTGTGGAAAGTAGTTGTATGTCGGTGTATTTAGGCCGGTAGAAAAGGGTAGGCATAGTATAGTGGCACAGCAAGTTGAAACATTAAAGTTTAAGCTTTAGGCAGTGTGTTTTCGCACAATAGAAAAGCCGTAGTATCAACCTTGGAATTAAAATATGAATAGTATATGAACACTATACAACAGACCAGACCAGATGACTCGATAAACCGACATAGAACCGCAGAAAAAAAGGAGAGTCGAACATGCAGAGTATGATATGTATTAATGCCGGAATGAAAATCACAATCAGAATCACAATATAAGCATAGCCAGACAGAACTGGATGGAACTCGGCATCAAAATGCAGAAGAGAGATGAACAAGGAAATCAAGATTAAATCAAAACCAAAATCGAGAAGTATTGGGGGAATCATGACATGGAGGTGCGAATGGGAGGGAAGAGACAGGCTGTAAATGCATTCATTCATGGCGGGTGACTTGGGTGTTCGGGGGAAGGATGTAGATGTATTTTTGTCTTTCACACGGAGAGAATGTTGAAAGATAAGTCATGTACGGGGAAGGGAATTCAGAAAATCATGAAACGCTTCTGTTTCGGTTTCTCGCCGTCTGAAGGAAACATGTATGTTAGTTGAAATCCATTTATATAGAGTTGTTTATTTTTCGCGGATCACTCACCTTGGCCTTTATCCTTTCTGAACCGGCCATTTCGAGCTGCATTTACCGGGTTTGCACCGTCGGCGGCAGCTCGAATGGCAGCAATGCGGTGCTTCGCACGTTCATCGCCTTGATCAGCGGCCTTGACATACCAGACGTTCGCCTGGAGGGGGTCGCGCCGGCATCCGATACCCATTTCGGTGAAGTAGCCGACAGCATATTCCGCCTTGGCGAGACCTGTTTGGTTTTAAGTGTTAGTTGGCTGGTTTAAGAGGTGATTTCGGGCTATTAGGACATACCAAGTTCCGCAGCCTTAGCTGCCCATTCATACGCCTCATTCTCATCCTTTTCAAGGACTGGTTCAGCACCGACGAGGTACCACGCACACAGAGCCATCATCGCCAACGGGTGACCGGTCTGCGCGGCGGAGGTATAGAAGTGAATACTCAGTGCAGGGTCGCGAGGACAATTCAATTTGCCGTGTTCGTAAGCATCACCCAATCGATACGCCGCTTCCTGGTGACCCAATTCCGCAGCTTTGGTGAATAATTGTGCAGCATAGGATTCGTCGATGAAAACGTCATCACCGTAGCCTGTCTCGTGCATCAGGCCCAGTTCATAAGGCGCCGCGTTATACTGTGCATCTGAAGATTCGGTCGCCCGCTTCATCCATTTGATTCCTTCTCGATACCGTTTTCCCAGTCCCATATCTCCTGCCAGACAGGCATTGGCCATGCGCATCATCGCTCCGGGGTGATTTTTCGACGCGGCTTGGCGGTAGAATTGCACGGCGCGACCACCATCAGCACGACAACCCCAACCAAATTCGTAGCAGAGCGCTGTGCGATAACACGCCTCCACATGGCCGTGTTTACTAGCAGCGACGAAAAGGCTGAAGGCGCGGTCTTGGTCTGGCTTGCCCTTGTTGAAGAGGCCGGATGCATAGCCGTCGGCAAGGTAGTACTGTGCGAAGGGGTAGCTGCGGTCTGCGAGCCGTTGAAGGATGGACTTTGACTCGCGCATTAGTCTGGCGCGGGTGATCGAGCTGGAGTCTTCGAGGTCGACGGATGGCATGTCGCGCATGGAGTTGATCATGAATACGGCGAATTCATAGAGCACTGCGGGTTCGTCTGTCTTTTTCACGTTTGCCAGGTACATCTCAAATGTTTGTTTGTGGCTGAGTAAGGAGGCATTGTTGCCGACTGATGCGCGGAGAGAGGCATTGTTGAGCTTTGACGCCCCTGGGCCTGGTTGGGGATAGGAGGTGTTGAGGAGATCCAGGAAAGACGAGGAACGATTGTCGTGGGATGCGCTGGAGTTCCTGGAGGATGATCGTGCATGCATGTACGGGGAAGCTGAGAGGTTGCGACGGTGTGCTCCGGGGGCGAGGTCGGAGCTGGAGGAATGGTTGGAGAGCGGGCGGGTGATTCTTGAGCGTCTCACGGCGAGTTTATCGGTAGAACTTGACGGATTGTCCGGTAGAATCATCCCGGGGGTTGATTTCCGCTTGCTTTGTGGGGTTTCCTGTTGCTGGTGGTGATATGCCAGAGGCTCATGGCCGTCCGCTGCGAGAGCGACGCTTTCCAAGCTGCCACGAGAGGAACTGTTGTGGCTAAGATCATGGTGTTCGAGCGAGGCCGCACTCTTCTTGGGGTTCCCCATTGTACCATCCTGCGCATGTGGCTCGATCACCGACCAAGATCCGCTGCTTGCGGGGGTATGGCCATATGGATGAGGGTGCTGCATGGATTCCCTGCGTGGCGGGTATGTTGGAGACCATGTCTGCTGCGGTTGTGCAGGATCGTCGATTGTCATGCCGGCGAATTCGGGCAGCTCTAGCTGGGGAGTCGGGGGACCGTTGTGGAAGTGTTCAATGGGGGCTCGTGAGGCGGGCGGAAGACCAATGCCATAGTCGATTTTCACAGGCGACCGGGGGGAGTCTTGGATGACTGGGACATTATCGGTGGTCAAACTCTTGGGCCTCGGAACGGCATTGCGTGGAGTGGATTGCTGAGAGGGGAAAGGAGGTGTCGATCGGAGATAAGCTGGAGGTGGAGTGGGAATGGACGGATACTCTGCGACCGGAGCAGCCATGGTGAAGAGAGTAGATGGGGGAGTGTCAAGATGAAGAGGCGTAGCAGACGTAGTAGACGAGTAAAGCTACTAGTAGCAAACTAGCAAAACGAGCGTGGAAGTGAACGCAGTGGCAAAGCGAAGGTGAAAGCGAGCGAGGGTCTATTGCGGAGACATGGAGATCCAAAATTCTCGCCGATCACGAAGGTGGAGCAGCGGGTGCTAGGGTATGATCGAGCGAGATGTGTCGTGTAAACAGTCACAGCGTATTTTGGTGTAGATATCGGTGCAAGAACTTGAATATACCTAGATGGACTAGGTGGTGGGATGATAGGAGGAGGTGAAGAAGAGAAAGAAGAAGCGAGTGAGTGACGAGTGACCTCCGCCAGTTGAAGCGAGGGGCAAAACACTGTTTCACCTGAAAGACCACCACACTAGTATTTACTAGTAGATGGGATTAAATCAGTATAGTAGAATACTAGTATACATCTACTACAGAATGTGTGAAATAAAATAGAATAGCTAGTATGTAGTGTCATATATCTAGATATAATCCAGGCCTTCCAGCCCTGGTCATGTGAACCCTCCATCTTCTCCAGACTACTCCTCTACTCTGCTCTCCTCTACTCTATTCTATTAATATATTGGTGCCTCAGGGTACCCCATCTCCAGATTTTTATTTTCTCGTATCGCCTGGGGCTGAACATCTCTTCCCCTCGTATGTTCCCGTCTCCAATCTCCACAACAGCGCATAGCACCTGGCATACGAGCCCCCAGAGGTTTCCCTTGAGGCCGATCCTCATTCGGATACCCTCCGATCAAATTCAAGTTCAGCTTCAATCCACTGCCCAGACTACTCTCTCCAAATTTCTCCTCTTTCGTCTCTTCTCTTCCCCTCCATTCCCTTCCTTTTCTACATTGGTGGATCGCGGATCGGTGGAGTCAACTAGGCACAACTCTACTTCGCCAAACCCCCAGTGCTAGTCGCAACGGGGAATAGACTGCATCCCGCTGCCATCCTCCAACCAACTACGACTCGGCATCAATTTCCTAGCCCTGTCCGCAGTCGCACTCGCAGCCGCACTTCAACTGGCGGTGGCAGGGAGACCGTAATTTAGGCTCCGGCATATCCGCCGTGGTGGCACGTTCTGAATCATGACCAATCCAGTCATCCCCAAACCCTTTCCTTCCTTTCCTCACGGAATTTTTGCCCTGGGCCACGTCTTACCGCTGAACAGAGTCATCACAGTCACGGCGGTAAGAATATCCAGCAGGAGGGGATTCGAGGTTGAATTGACTTTCTCACGGCCCTTGGTCTCGCACGGCCCGAACCACGGACCGCGATGGCGATATTCTCCTTGCTGCTTGCTCGTATGCGCCGAGCCTTGAAGGTTTCTTGTCTTGGCTGATTCCTTCAGCTGGATGCCACTGGAGTGGTGGTAAATGACGACAATCGAAGTGATACTTCGTAGTCACTCAGTGTCTCTCTCGCCGTCTCCCCTCCCCCTCCACGGGGTACTCGTAAAATTATTCCACATTCGAGCCCAATAAATACAACCATAACGTGGCCATGCATGTAGTAATGGCTAAGACGAACCGAACCAGCAGAGAACTGGAAGCGGTCGTTCCACAATCCTGGCAGCCAAGATTGCGCCGCGTCTGATACGTCCAGGTACGCACGCCGCACACGGAGTAATATTATGCGATATACGATATAAGATTCCGGTACCGAGTAGTGTAGCCTGAGGATAGTGGCCAGCATCCATAACTAACTACCTACTCATCCACGGGCATGGATGTACCTCCGCGATCTCTCACGTTATACAGCGTGTATCGAATCTGATATATATCGCGCAGCGGGGATCGGCCGCCATGCCGATCCCATCGTGGGCGTGAGCCTGAGCACAGGGGCTTGCCAATGCGGGTTGAAGTTTGCCCCGGATTTCCATCTGCGTCCCTCGCAGGGATATTCCGATAAGTTTGATAGTTGTGTTTGGGCCTCGACCTGGGTCTGATCTGGGTCTGGGTGCAGTAAGGTATGGCATCAATTATCATTCTGGTGTCCACTGTCCAGCATTTATTGCACTACAGTACGATACGGAGCACCAACGGAATATGGAGACAGAATTGGGCATGTCATTTCGGATATGACAGATTCGCGATCGGAATGCCAGCCGAGTCTGGTACGAGTACTCCGTACTCGTACATGTGGCGGGCTCCCTCTGACGGCTGCCCAACGCTGTGAGGCGGCGTGCATATTGCTGAGACTACTGTATTGCTCGAATCGCCCTACGCAATACATATAGTCTGACAGGTAGGCTATATATCTCATGCCCTGCGTACTGCCCTGCCCTGCTCGATTCAAGCACTCTGCATAACGGTTCCAGGGCGGCCGGGGTGCAACCTACCAATACCTACTCTACTTCGTATTAAGTGTAGCTTAGCTTAACGTAGCGTAGCGCCCGGGAAAATTGAGATGGCCCCGTGACCGTCGTGGAGAGGGGAAATGAAAGTAAAATAAAAAATAAAAATAAAATAAGCCCTCGGCTGGATATTCCCCCAGTGAAAGCGGGTGCCCGGGCGGGGGCCGGGGCACTCCTATTAGTGCATCCCAGTAACTATACAGTGGCAATCAGTACCTGACGCTGTGCATTCGAGTAATTTGTGAAGCGCCCGGGAATTAAATCGTACATATTATAGTTAAATAGAGCATCAGGTATGCCAGTCTTTAAGTTCTTGTAATGATGCATTTTATTGTTGTCTATTTTGAGAGTGGCAAAGGTGACTCTATAGCTTCAGTGCTAGTATCCATGGGTTGACTTGGGATGGACGGCAGTTCCTTGGTCGCCATTATTTACAGTGTGCTACTATAGATAACACCGCAAATTTCGCCTACTCTGCCACTCTGGGTGCTACTCCGTCGGACCCTTCTAGTCTTTTGGGTGCTAAAGTGCAAGGCTAGACCCGAGATGGTTTGGCGCGAAACGGGGAGGGTGTAACCGAGGAGGGGCGATGATTTGCTGGGATTGCCCCTAGCGACGGGGCAGAGCAACCTTTGCCCAAAGGGAAAGAGAAGATCGAGGCAAAGGGGCCTCACATGAAGAGATAAAATAGGAGAATGAGTCTGTAGTGAAGTACCTAACCTTAGCGATAGGCATACTACTACAGTATACTACAGTATACTACACAGTTAATACAGGCATATAGTTATGCATGTATAATAGAAAAGTGAGACTGTCACGGGACCCTCCCCGGTCGCACCTGCCTTTGTTTTTTGCACTGCACTGCATCGCTCCTTCCCTAGTCAGAGTCTCTCAGTCACTCAGTCACGTTCACTCCGGCTTTCGCCTTCTCCTCGACTTCCTCGACTTCCTTCATTTCCACCTTCGTTTCCTCTCCTCCCATCGCTTCCCTGGATCCTCGTACCCTCGCTCTCCAAGTCGCTCGTTGATTGATCTGATCGGCCCCGCTGACGTTCACTGAATCGTGTGTGGACCGCACTTTGTTTATTCTCCACCCCGGCCGTCTCGTTGCACAGGCCGACCAGCTCATCTTGCGATCAACCAATTTTCCATTCGCCCACTTAACTCTCGCTATTCTATCGACCAAGTCGACATTCTCGGGTCCACTGTCCCACGCATCGGAATCGGCATCTCTGACTTTCGCGTGGAATCTCTGATCCCAATCACCTCCCGATATCCCTCGTGTCGGCCTGCAGATTGCGCATTCCTTTGTGTTGATCCCCGAGATATGTTCTAGACAACCGACGACCCACAATATTTTTGAAACCATCGTCACAACACTCTAGCTTCCTGTTGATGGTCGCAAGTTGCTCAGGGTAAGTTGAAAGGTTCCTAGCTTCAGCTTTGCTTTCGTCCCGTCTCGTATCAAGACTTGACTTGACTATCCCTGGCCCACACTGCAGGCAACTGATCCAGCTCACAGAACCACCAGACACCATGTCTCTTCCGCAACGGCCTGGCAAGGCCTCGCCACGCCGTGAGGACACCCGCAGTGCCTTTCGTGAACCCTCACAACGTCGTCGCCGTCGCGATATCGATTCCGGGACATACAGCGACAGCCCGCAGACCTCCCCATCCCACCACCGCCATCGTCGACGCTCTCACTCCCATCGCAGACATACCGAAGTCGATGACGATCGCTTGGAGCGGGGTGATGATTTGAGGCGCAAAAAGAGCCTGGTCAGACCCGAACGACGACACATGGACCGAGACCACCCCAATTATCACTATAGACAACGGTCGCATCACATGGAGACTCACCCCTCGGCGACCGGCAACGACCCGCTACTCGATCATGATGGAGAGGCAGAGACGAATAGCTCCCGGTCCATGGATGCGAAACCCAAGGACAAGGAACAACTCTACGGGGCACATGGCAATGTGAACAAACCCATGGATCGAGTACCGAGCCGCCATCGGTCGAAGAAGAAGAAAAGGTCAACCCGCCGAGTATCCAAGACTCAAACCGCTGAAGACCGGAGGAAACAGAAAGAATTGGAAGCTGCACGGCCGCCTGATCTGTGGACAACCTACTGCGCTCTCGTCAGTTGTTTGATCCCAGATTTCGTTCTCAAGTGCTTTGGCATGCCCCAGAGAGAGCAAAGAACGGCTTGGCGAGAGAAGATTGGCCTGATCAGTATCATTCTCGCGATCGCGGCCTTTGTCGGTTTCCTGACTTTCGGTTTCACTGCCACCGTATGTGGTACGCCCCCGGTTCGTCTGAAGGCCAACAAGGTTGGTTCCGGTTACATGATTTTCCACGGCCAAGCCTACGATTTGACGGGCTCGCACCACCCCGCAGCAGAGGGCATCCCGGCCAAGACTAATGTCCTGTACGATCTGCCACATAAGTACGGTGGTCAGGATGGTAGCTTTTTCTTCCAGCAAGTCAACGGTGCCTGTAAAGGTCTCATCACCGCTAAGGATGATGGCGGCGTACCGACGAACTCCAATGGAGACGTGGGGTGGTATTTCCCTTGCACGGCTTTCAACCAGGACGGATCATCCGAGCCCAACTTGACGACTTCTTACTACGAGGGCTGGGGATGCCACACTAGCAGCTCTGGGCGCAATGCTTTCTATAACCTGAGAAGCTCCGGCGATGTATATTACACCTGGGAGGACACGAAGAATACCAGTCGCAACTTGGCTATTTATTCCGGCAATGTCCTGGATCTCGACTTGCTACGCTGGTTCAACACCTCTCAAGTGTCATATCCCAAGAAGTTCGACAATCTGCGCACCAACCCTGCAGTCCGTGGTGTCGATCTGACCTACTATCTCCAGAGCGGCGGCGAGAAGCAAGTTGGCAAGTGTCTGGAACAGATCATCAAGGTTGGCAGCATCGATACCGATACAGTTGGCTGCATTGCGTCCAAAGTCGTGTTATACGTCTCATTGATCTTCATTCTATCTATCGTTGTCGTGAAGTTCGCCTTTGCCCTTCTCTTCCAATGGTTCTTGGCCCCCAAGTTCGGGGCGCAGAACACAAGCATCGCGTCGGATTCCAGAACTCGTAACCAGCAGATTGAAGACTGGTCGAACGACATCTACCGACCTGGACCTCGAATCGCCGATCCCCCTGCTCCCGATCGAATGAGCAAACGCGCGAGCTTCCTTCCCACAACCTCCCGCTTCTCCAGCCCATATGTGGTGAACAGCTCTGGTAGCAGCAAACAGCGAAGCCCATATGTCACCATGGCAAGTCAAAACTCCACGTCTCGTCTCATGCCCACCTCCACTACAACTGGTACAATGTACAAATCCAGCCACAATGGCAGCGGTGGGACATTGAGCGCCGAAAACTCTCGCAACAATGCTGCCGCTAGTCGAACAAGCTTGGTTCCTGGCCAACAGGATCAAGGCTACTCTGAAATCATTCCCGATTCTGAAGGGTCGGGGCCAGCTGGGTTCATTCATGAAGCAGTTGTCCCCCAGCCTCCGCCCGAGTGGCAACCATTCGGCTACCCATTGGCTCACGCATTGTGCCTGGTGACATGTTACTCGGAGGGCGAAGATGGTATCCGCACGACCCTGGACTCGATTGCCATGACCGATTACCCGAACAGCCATAAGACTCTTCTTGTGATTTGTGATGGTATCATCAAGGGTAAAGGCGAAGAATTCTCGACTCCAGAGATTGTGCTGGGCATGATGAAGGAACACGTTATCGTTCCCGATGAGGTCCAGCCATTCTCCTATGTGGCGGTAGCTACTGGCTCAAAGCGCCACAACATGGCCAAGGTATACACCGGATTCTACGATTATGGCGAGACATCTGTCATTCCCCCTGAGAAGCAGCAACGCATGCCAATGATGGTCATTGTCAAATGCGGCACCCCGGCCGAGTCGACCGTTTCGAAGCCGGGAAATCGAGGCAAGCGCGACAGTCAGATTATCTTGATGTCCTTCTTGCAGAAAGTGATGTTCGACGAGCGTATGACGGAGTTGGAGTTTGAAATCTTCAATGGAATGTGGAATGTTACGGGAATCCCGCCGGATTTCTACGAGGTTTGTCTGATGGTCGACGCCGACACGAAGGTATTCCCAGACAGTTTGACGCACATGGTTTCTGCCATGGTGAAGGATCCCGAGATCATGGGTCTGTGTGGTGAGACGAAGATTGCCAACAAAACCGACAGTTGGGTTACCATGATTCAAGTCTTCGAGTGAGTTTCCCTGTCTGCCGGTGGTGGTGCCGAACCAACTAACAGAATTAAGGTATTTCATTTCTCACCACCAAGCGAAATCTTTCGAATCCGTCTTCGGTGGTGTCACCTGTCTCCCCGGTTGCTTCACCATGTATCGCATCAAGGCCCCCAAGGGTGGTCAAAACTACTGGGTCCCAATTCTGGCCAACCCGGACATTGTCGAGCACTATTCCGAGAACGTGGTCGACACTCTGCACAAGAAGAACTTGTTGCTACTGGGAGAGGATCGTTACCTGACAACGCTCATGTTGAAGACCTTCCCCAAGCGAAAGCAGATTTTCGTCCCGCAAGCTGTATGTAAGACAGTTGTGCCAGACAAGTTCATGGTTCTTCTCTCGCAGCGTCGTCGCTGGATAAACAGTACCGTGCACAACCTGTTTGAGCTTGTCCTTGTTCGCGATCTATGCGGTACCTTCTGCTTCAGCATGCAATTCGTTATTTTCATCGAGCTTGTCGGTACCCTGGTCTTGCCAGCCGCCATCTCGTTCACCATCTACGTTGTTGTCTCCTCCATCGTTAAGAAACCTGTCCAAATTATTCCCTTGGTTCTTCTCGGTCTTATTCTCGGTCTACCCGGTGTACTGATTGTCGTCACCGCACACCGACTTGTTTACGTGTTGTGGATGCTGATCTATCTGATCTCGCTCCCAATTTGGAACTTCGTTCTTCCTATGTACGCATTCTGGAAATTCGACGATTTCAGCTGGGGAGATACGCGAAAGACAGCCGGAGAGAAAGACAAGGGCCATGGAGATGGCGAGGGCGAATTCGACAGTACTCAGATCACCATGAAGAGGTGGCGCGATTTCGAGAAAGGTAAGATTTAAGCCCCCCTGCTAGCCTGGACAGGCTTATTGGTAGCTTACCCTGGTGGTGACATTTTGGATTTGGATTTGGATTTTCTGACATGCATTGCAGAACGACGTCTACGAAATAGCGCCTGGGCGCACCCACATGCGCCAACGAATGGGTACTCGCATTACGAGACGTACTCTGATTATTGAGCGGAATTATTTAGTTTTTGTACTTTTTCTTCTTTGATTTGCTTTGCTCTGTTCTGTGATTTATTATTCCCACTCACATACCGAATCTCGGCGGCGTTTGCGTTTTTTTAATCTAATCAGCTGGGATTTTGAAGGATGCGAAGCTATTAATGGCGCTGTACTGCACGATTGACGAGCTATTATTGAACGAGTGTTGCCTGTGCATTTATTGTATTCAAGTTTTCTGGCATTTATTATGTGTATCTTATTTATACAGCGAGTTGAGCGTGCGTGCCATGCTCTGTGTTGATAATGAACATGAACATGAACTGGATGATACTAGCGTTCGCTGCTTCTGCTTTATGGCTATGCTTACTTACTACCTTACCCATTGCCCATGCAAGTATTTGATTTGATGTATAGGTTCCCCACACTGTGCCAGCGACAGGGATGTTTACAAGGATCGTCAGCCCAAGGGAGTGCCCAATGGACCTGAGCGCAGGTCACAGGCTCAATTCACGGATCTGCGGTGCGTCACTCCCTGCAGCGATGATTTACATCCGCACCTGGGCACCCCTTTCCCGATATTGGATACTCCAGGGCTGTCTCAATGGAGTACTGATATACTATGCTACTACTAACTGTGTACATAAACTTAAGAGGTGTTGGTAGTCCATCAATATACTATAGTCATGGTGGCGTTGCACAAATTTGAAACCCCTGTTGACTGTACTCGTCCGCCTTCTAATGGCAGATTAGTAGGTACCTGAGATGAAAGAAGTTGGCCAATCTATTTCATCTCAGGTAGCTACTACGAGTATACTCTCTGCTCTACTCTGTTGTATAGTGTTGTGCTGACTAACGCCAAGACTCCGGGATCGACTCGTCAATTCGACCTCACTTTCACTTTCACCTCCCTCCTCCCCTCACGCCTAACTCCGACTCCGATACTATCTTCCATTGCCTCATCATTTTCTGAATTGTTTATTTGCTTCTTTTCTATATCGCGCAATTCCCCGTCCAGCCAACACATTACCAATCCACCTCAGCTGCCTACACTAACTGCGCCCTGCACTGGCCATCTCTCCATTCCAGCTGCACCCCACTTACTCTCCTCCTTTCGTCATCCTGCATCCCGCTATCAGCCTCTTTCTCTCATCCTTGGATCTGATCACCACTCGGCGTTAAGCACTGCCATCGCTTTTCACTCAATGATCCGCTGAACCCTCGCCGAATCTACTCCACCTGGCTCCTTTTTCCACCTGTCATATCCCGCCCACCGTCGCCGTGCTAAATTACCCTCAGACAACGTGGATCAGTGCCTCCCCCATCTCCTTATTTTCACTTTCGACTTGGCGTTGAACGGGAAAAAACGGCCCACGCTCAGTCCTCTCACCTCAGATCTCCATTTTTCTTTTTCTGTTCCAACCTTTCAGGCTTGGTGATCATAAGTTTGAAACCTCGCCCGCGAGCGCCGGCTCTACTCCTTACCATCTCGCCTCCACCCTCGTCCACACTTATACCTGTCGTGAATCATTCGCGGCGTTGACCGCGATCCCCCCCTGGTCTATAGTAGACCAGTCAGAGAAACAGATACAAAAGCGACCCTTGGGTTTCACTGATTATCCAATCATCCCAACGTTCTTGCTGACACTCGCACTCTCACTCTTTAACGGTCGGCAGTCCCACATTCCCCTCGTGGGCTTCTTACCTACACTGCCCCTCCTTCCCGGTTGCCTTACCACTGGCGCGATCTTATCACCAAGTCCAACCGTCGCCTCGGCATTTCTGTTTCGCCCGCATCTTGTCTCCCCGTTGTCCGCAATTGGTGACTTACACCTGCGCCACGCCCGACCCAAGTCACCTGGAATACTGCATATCCCAGGATCCGGCGTCCCCAAGAATACCACACTTAGGTCTGCGACAACTCGTGTAACTGTCACTGCCAATCATCCTTGCACCAGCTGCCTATTCGAGTTCTGATCATCCGTCCTCCTTCTTGTGCCTGACATTCTTCGACATCCCATCGGCGGATCCGACTTGCGCGGCTTTTTCGCTCGCCCATCCCCGCGATTTAGATTCGATATTCCCCGGATCGACCTGCGGATATTGTTACACCCCTCTCCATGACGGGCAATGCTTGATGAGAGCCACGCCGCACATACGCCTTCATCCACCCGTTCCCGTCAGCCAACGTCTTCCCTGACGACTCCTCGCCATGAGTCATGTGATGCCGCCTGCGTGTCAGCTCATCCACGAGTCATGAATAACGCTGCATCCACCTTGCATTTCCCCGAGGACGGGACAGACCTCCCGCGCCGCAGAATGCCGGCGCTACATCGACGACGCAAGACCTTGCACCCACGCCTACACTTTCATATGCAGGAGCGACCACTACAGACATGGCGTCCCAAGAGGATCAAAGGCTGCACAATGTGGGAGTCGCGGCTCTCGCTGCCATCGCGCAATACCCGCATGCCGTGAATGATGAGAGCAATTCTCTTTTAGTGTCGGAGGTGGTGCATGCGATGACTGGCAGGTCCCTGCCAGTGTACCATCACCACAACCCCCATCCAACCCTTGGCGACCAAGTGCAGTCACCTTCGAATCCTGAAATCAATTTTTCGCCACTATCCTTTTCCCCGGTGTCCGACGGGAATAGCGTGCCGTCTGGATCGAATGCTCTCTCGCCACTCTCGCAGGACGATACCGATATCGACATGGAGGGCATTGTGCAAGACCTGATCGAGCGCACTGCAACATGGCCTAACATCGCGACAATTGCGAACGAGAGCGATATCGAGAAGGATATGGTGAAGGATTACGATCCTGAATTCGAGGACCACACCTCGCCGTCGACTACCCCGGACGATGAATTTGAAGATTTCCTCCGGTTTTACCCCGACGAGGAGGAATATTACCGCGAGGAAAATGAGCCGCGGTCTCTGGAGCCTGGTATGCATGAGGTGGACTTGGACGAGTTTTATCACACCATCAACTATGACACTCAAGATGTGGATATTCCTGAGGTTCCGGGCACTCCACCCTTGGGTCCTTTCCCGGGAGTCGATGAGCTTGATGCCCATCCTCCCTCCATCATTCACACTACAACCCATGAACGAAACCTCACTATTGATGAATTTATCCAGCGGTGGGTTCTCCAAACAAATATTATTCCGCATGGGTTCCACTCGGAGCACAGAATCCCCCCCGCAGCTACGCCCGCTATCGAAAATGATGAGCTGGACTCCTCACCGTGATGTGTACCGGCCGCATACATATGAAGATGACATATATGATCTTCAACAAATCCCTTGGGCGGAGACTTTGAAAGTCAAACCCAGTGAGGCGCGCGCCCTTCGCGATGCATGGTACACATCATACCACAATATCCCCAAAAACTCCCATAGCCGCCGCCTCAACCATCTCCCCCAAGATGAATTATTCTTCCAAGAAAAGTCAATGCATACCGCACACAAAGCGACAATCGAACACTTCCAACTACGAAACCTGATGTCGGTCCCTGCCTACAACACCATCAACTTCGCCAGCCGTTCAAAAGTCTACTCATGGGCCCCATCCTTCGATGAGAACCGAGTCCTCATCGACCTATCACGAGCATACCCAGAAAGCGGCTTCCTAGGCCCAGTCAAAATCTCCAGTATGAAGACCGCGCACGGTCTCACCATCGCAGGTGGTTTCTGCGGCGAATACGCCCTTCAAGCTTCCGACGGCGCAGGATCCGGCGCTAAGGGCCTAGTCACGCCCGACCCGAGCGACGGCATCACAAACCACGTGGACATTGTTCCAAAACGGACCGGCAGTTCTCCAATCTGCGTCTTCTCCTCGAATGACCGCCACCTCCGAGTCCTCGACTGTGAAACAAACACCTTCCTCTCCGACCAAGAACTCTCCCGCCCGATCAATTGCACCGCCACATCTCCGGACAGCCGTCTCCGCGTCGTCATCGGTGATTCCCCGGATGCTTGGGTCATTGAAGCCGACACCGGAAGACCAGTCCACCCTTTACGCGGACACGAAGATTTCGGCTTCGCTTGCGCCTGGTCCCCCGACATGCGCCACATAGCAACAAGCAACCAAGACAAAAAAGTAATCATCTGGGACGCGCGCACATGGCGAATTCTCGAAACAATCGACTCCGACGTCGCGGGGTATCGATCATTACATTTCTCCCCTGTGGGCGGTGGACCACGAACACTCCTCTGCGCCGAGCCAGCAGATCGAATATCCATTATAGACGCGCAGCTCTACCAGTCTCGACAGGTGCATGAATTCTTCGGCGAGATTGGCGGGGCGGATTTCTCGCCTGATGGGGGGACAGTGTGGGTTGCTAATACGGATCCGCATTTTGGCGGGTTTATGTCATTTGAGAGGCGGGAGTGGGGGAGGGAATTTGGGGTTTTGGATTTGGTGAATGAGTTTGTTGGTGAGGACCGGCTTGATGAGGATGAGAGGTGTGTTTTGGGGAGGAGGGAGAGGGGTTTGAGGTTTTTGAGGAATTTTAGTGATGAGGAACATGATTTGTTTGTTCTTTAGGATGGGTGGGATGGGATGTGGTTTTTCTCTGATTACCTGCGTTTTCCTCTGTCTGATTTACCATCAGATTGAAGTTTGAGCCGGCAGTTCCCTTCGTTTCTTTCCCTTTTTGTTTTCTTCTTGTCTGTCTTTGCGTTCTTCCTGTTCCCTTTTTTGCGGCATTTGATACCCTGGGTTCTGGTGTTGTTGGCTATCTGTACTTTGCATAGAGTGTATCACATATATCGAAGAATGGATATGTCTTGACTAGTATTCTTCAAGTTCAGGTTGCTTAGGATCTTGTGTAGAATGCAGAATTCACAATGGTACTACCCAGTGGGTAGTACTAGTAAACTGCCAGTGCCAGTGGGCATTGAAGATCTGAGCAAGTAGGCTTCACTACTAGTATTTTAGCGCAGGTTTAGCTTCATGCTCGAGCTAATTATAGTTTTAAGTAGATAATAGCCTTACTAATACCTAGTACTAGTCGTCAGTCCTTCCTACAGATCTACATATCATTAAATCATACGATGTGTAGGTTGATCTGTATTCATCGATTTGATAGCGTCCAGGTTGACATTCCGAGGACGCAGCAAGATACACTACTAATAGTGCTGCTAGTGCTAGTATCGAGACGAGTCATATAAGAAGACTGAAAGCAAGCAAGTAAGCCCGCCTCGACAAAATCCATCATTTACAAGAACTTGCTGGCTAGACTCATCAGACCACCAGCACCACCAGTTCCACCAATTCCACCACTGCCACCCTTCATGTACATCTTCAACGCCATCTCGGCAGCAGAGTTGACCGCAGACTGCTTATCGCCAGACTGTTGCACTTATTAGCCAACCCAACTCATTCAGAATACCCCAGTATCTCAACTCACCACATTGCCACTAGCATTCTTCTCATCCCAAAGCTTACTAGCCTGCGCCATAGCCAACCCCATCAACTTATTCTTATCCATACCCCCATCCGAACCACTACCCCGGAACCACCACCAGTAAACATCTTAAGAGCCTGCATAGCCGCACCCGCACCCACAGTACCAGAATCATGACTGCGCTCATCACTACCACCACCATACATAGCCTGGTGGGCATTCATGGCGTGCGCCTCGTCGACTTCGTACTTGGATGTATCGGCATACTCGCTCCTACGCTCCTTGACGAAGGATAGTGCGCTGTCGAAGAAGGATCGGTCTTCGCTGCTGTGTTCCTGGGAGGCGTGGTGGGCTGCGCTGCTGAAGTCGTCGTGTTGGTTCTCGTTGGAGTAGGAGGGGGGTCCGTTGTAGCGTGTATCGCGGAAGTCGGCGTTTTGGTCGTAGTAGTTGGCGCTGGCACCGGAGTTGCCGCCGGAGTTGTAGTCGTTGTAGGACATTGTGATTGTGGGAGATAGATGGGATGTGGAATGTGGGTGTTGTAGATGGGTGGAGGGAGATAGGAAGAAGATAGAAAGACAAACAGAAAAGAGGGGTATTTATTTGGACTGGGCTGAGCTGAGCTGAGCTGGCCAGGTGGGCTGGAACTCCCCTCTTCTTTGGAACTTGGCGGGGCTGTGGAGTCAATGGGAGATCGAATGGATCGGTTTTACGTCGGTGGATCGGACACAAGGTTGGTGGCAAAATAATGCTATGTACAATAGCCCACTGGTAGCGGTTACTAGTATGATAGATAGTCTCGAATTTTGAAATCAGGGCATTTATACCCCATTATAAATTACACTAACCGTTCTTCAAGTTGTACCTGTGGAATAGAATAGCAGATATATGAGCTGCTATTGGGGCCTACACTGCAGAGGAAATAAAGAGATAATAAAATTGAATCTGAGTACTTCGATGACAAGTGAAGAATAACAACTAGTCGAAACTACGATTATCTGGCATGGGAAATATCGAACGTGGTGCTGATCTATACATGCCTCAGGCGAAATAAGGCGCCAATTAACTATTACAACTTCTTTACCCCGACATGTTCACGAATTGAATTAAAATGATAATATATATTTCCAAAGTCCTCTACCTGTGTTAATTGTGATCGATGGGCTCAACAAATGCCATGAAGATCACGCCAAAAGATTTCTTCCTCTACTGGCTCAACCGCAGAATCTGAACGCCATTCGACTAAGGATCTTCACAACAAGCAGGCCAGAAAATCATATTGCCAGACTTTTCAAGAAGATGAAGGACATGTTGGCAGATTCTGTTGACGAGAATGAACTCTGTAAAATTGATTCCCAGACGAACAAGGACGAGACGGACATGGAAAACGACATAGCTCGCTTTCTGAACCCTGCCTTTACCCAGATCGTCGAGGGCAAGGAGAACGAGGGCCTGTACCAGGGATGGCCTGGCGATGATCGAATCTGCGATATTGCAGATAAATTTGGAGGTCTATTAATTTATGCGGCTACCGTATGTCGGTTCCTCGGCGGCCTGAAGCCAAGCAAGGTTATACTAGAGTCAAGACTGCAGAAGATATTCGATGGCAAAGTTTCTGGAAGAAGCCCGCAGGCGAGCCTCGTTGCCATTTACAGCCGCATACAATCTGCCATGATGGAAGGGCTAGATGTGGACGAAGAAGAAGACATCATAAGTCGATTCCGCTTAGTGGTTGGATCTATAATCATTGTGCTTGGGCCGCCTACATTCGAAATACTGTCTAAATTGATCGAAATTCCAGAATCGGACATCCGCGGGGACCTGAAAGGTCTTCATTCAGTTCTTTTCTTCAAAAACTCCCCAATGTCTACAATACAGTTGCTTCATCTCACGTTTCGAGATTATCTGCTTGATGAAAGAAGATTACCCATTGCATGGTCATCGGATAGCAAAGTGATCGCTTTCCCTGACTATAGCCACATGACGATTTGGAACTTCTCAAAAGAAGTCCTGGCACAGTCTTTGGACGCCACTTCGCTAGAGCTTCTTGCCCTCGCGTTCTCACCCGGGGATCAGCTTTTGGCAGCGATGGCCAATTTTGGGACTCTTCTACTTTTCCAGCCTGGAAGTTCTGGAGATACTAAGTACTATAAAATAGCTGACTGGTCACCTCAAGTAAAACCTACCATGAGAGACTTTGAGCCGCCGGTGTTGGAATTTTCGAAGGATGGCAAAACCATCCAGACAGGCTACGGTCGTATTGATGTTAGGATATTCAAGGGAGAATTAAACCATTCTGATGACCTCAGTTTATACATAGATGGTGCCTGGATTCTTCGAGGTCGACAAAGGGTTATGATGATCCCTCATGAATATCGAGTTAGTTGCGCATTCGCGGCAGATGATACTCTATTCATGGGGTTCGAGTCTGGCGGTTCCGGTTCCATTACATTTGATGGAACTAGGAAAATAACTCACGGGGGTTGATACCAGGCTATCGATACCCTGTGTTCCAAATTCTTCTCCTTCTCCTTCTCTTCCTCCTCCCCCTAGATTATAAGTAAAGGCCATCATCACTCCCCTGTGACTATTAGGAAGAAGTCCATCATTGAGACCCAATCAAAATCTAGCATAAGTTGATATATGAACCATCATTAACTCATTTCAAAGCTTTTCATGCAACCTTTTCCAATGTTATTAACATACCTCAGGTCGATTCCTACCTGGCTACGCCAATCTCAAATCTATACACAAATTTATTATAAGCTCAAAGTCTTACAATAATTTATCATCTTGATATATGAAATACGATGTCCTAGTTTATCGTCCATGTCTACCCGACTAATTCGTTCAATTGCGCTTGTCATTGGGGCGCAAGGCAATCGGCCCTCCCTGACCCAGACTGGCAGGTATGAATGGAAACTCGAACTTCAAGTTTTCACCTTAAATTTCTCGTCTGTGGTAGGGCTGCTCGTAGTATCCACCCAAATAGGAACCTTGGAAGTTGGGCATCAGACTCCAAGTCAGATTCCAATTTGAAGACTCAAGTTCCAAAGGTGCGCTGGAGTCCACAGTTATTATTTCAAGTTTGCTGCTTGTAATACTACATCCGTGACTCGGAATAAATGAAAAATCTAACACTTGTAGCGGTATATATTCAACAACAATTTTCTACGGTATGAATATCAAGTTGAACCACACCATGCCAGAGCCCATGCCATCCATACAATACCATGCCATGCCATGCCATGTCCATGACCTCGCCAGCAAGCAGTAATGAATCATATAATCAGGAACCGTGAAAAAGCAGATCAAAACCAAAAGAGTCATAGCCATGCACAAATGCCGGGGTTCTCGTGAATACATAGCTGAAACGGGGAGGAGACACAGTCCAAGAGAAAAAGAAAAAGAGAAAAGGGAAAAGAAGAAAAGAGTAGAATATAGAAGAGAGACAGCAGAACAGAACAAAATAGAACAGAAGGTCCAACGCTAAGCGCAGAAAAACAATTCCATCACCTTGAACACGTAGACAATCACACATCACATCACCAACAATAGCACAAGCAACAGCTAGCTAGCTGTCTTACCTACCACTCATCATCATCATCATGCTTCCCCTGCATAGCACTCTGTCTCGCCCTAAGCGCTTCAGCAAGACCACCCGCCAAACTAGCATTGGAAGTACTATTCGGGGTACCACGACCACTAGCACCAGACGAGTCACCGGAATTCATGCTCACAGCACTATCCCGGGGAGCTGGGGGTGGAGCTGGTTTGCGGCCAGCCATAGTGGGCCGCTTAGCTGGGGGTGCAGGTGGTGCGGGTTTTGTCTTTGCTGCTGCTGCTGCGCCGACGCCGCCGTTGGGGACGGGCGAGGGAGTGGCGCGGGGAGCGGTGGGTGGTGGTGGGGGTGGAGTTGGTTTGGGGGGTGGTGCGGACTTTTGTTCTTCTAGGTATGCTTCTGGTGTCCAGCCTTGGGCTGAGGTTGTGGTGTTCATGCATAGCCACCAGCCTGTTGTTAAGTTAGAAAGGGATTCGTTAAGTGGGAGGGGAGGAGAGGGAAGGGGGTATGCGTACCGTTTCCTTCCTTTGAGACAATTTGTACGATCTCGCCGGTGCGGATGGAGAGTTCGTTCGCGCGGTCGCTGTTGAAGTCGTATAGGACCTTGGCGGTTGGCTTTCTCGAGGCAGCAGGGGGTGCGGAGGGTGGAGGTGGAGGAGGAGCTTTCATGGAACCGCTTGAGTCAGTGCGGATGTGAGAAGCAGCGGCGGCAGCAGCTACGGCCGCTGGCTGGGGAACGACGCGAGACTGGGCGACTGGTGTTGGGGCCGCTGGCACAGAAGTCGTTTGATGCGATACAGGTAAAGGCTGCGCGGGGGGCGGAGCTTTGCGAGCAGCAGTGGAAAGCTTTCCTGCATTTCCACCGGGACCTCCTTGACGGAGAAGTCGGCCCTTGGTGATTGGTCGTGCAGCAACGGGCTTCGCTCGTGGCGTAGGCTTCGATACAGAGCTGGGAGGTTCACCGGCGCTGGTGTGGATCGTGCTACTCTTGTAGCTGTCGACGGCTCCAGCTTGGGGGTCCTTGACAGACTTGACATAGGCGAGCTTTCCTGGCTTCTTGTTGTATTCGATGCTCTCGCCGATCTTCAGGTTCAGGGAGCCGCGAAGAGAGGTGTTCAGGTGGGTAAAGAATTCGGTCTTAAAGACACAGGTGAGAAGGGGATCGGGTTCCTGGGCACCAACAACCAGCGAGAACCAGTCGTCCTTCAGGCTGGAGGTGCTGACGGCCTTGATAGCGCCAACTGGGATAGTTCGCTCGGATGCAATGACAAGTTGGTTGTTGACAATGCTCTGGGCCACAATGTACACATGGCGGCCAGTGAGAACCAAAATACGAGGCACAAGCTTGCTGGAACGGCCAAACTTGGAAACCAGCACTTCCGCACGACAAGAGAATAGGATGTCTTCGGAGCTGCTAATGTTCGCGCCATTGCGGATCATCTCACCGGGTCCACCCTTGTTGCCCACACCAAGGTAGTCACCAAGGAAACGACGCGAGCCGAGCAAACTCATTCTCCGACGTTCCTTGCGGCCTTGCAGGACTTGGTGGCCTGAATCACGGACCTTGATCAACTCAAGACCTCCGGTAGTGCGGCGCCAGAATCGTTGAATACGAATGGCACACTCGATGCGGTAGCGGAGGTAGTTGCGCCAAGCACGTTGGATGCGAATGGCCATGTTGTGCCAGTAGCGATCACGCATGGCTTCCAGTGCGAAGAGAGTCTCGGGTGTCTTGACAAACACCTTGCTGATACCCATTTGGTACTCCTCCGCGGGGATTCGGGTATCCTTCAGGATTTGTTTCGCGCCCGACTCAACATCGCCTGACCAGGTATAGTCACCGGCGTAGGAGGTCTTGGGTGAAAGAAGGTAGAATCGCTCAACGAACTTGTCGAATGTTTGACGGTAGGCAAAACCGGCACGACGAATGCGAACGTTCTCCTGCAGACCAAGATACTTGATCTGGTGCAGCACGTTTCCTTCATTATACTCCTTGGGTGCCTTGTTGTCGTTCGGCTTGATGGTACGGATATAAGAGGGCTGGGCCTTCATCAGTGTCGCGACGAGGTCATTGGCCGAGGCCTTGATCTTATCACTGGCAGTTGGCGGACGACGCTTGTCATCCTGATTGACCTGGTTGGGGAAGAGAGTATGCACAAATTGGTTACCGCTAGATCCGGCCAAGTTCAGCAGATCCTTCAACAATTGATCCTTGTTCTTGTCCGTCATTCCCTCAACTGCGTAGCTCACATCACCAGCGTAGTGCTTGATGATGAATTGACCCTGGCGACCTTCGAAGTTGGGGTTTTGGCCAAGGAAGTTCAGGCGACCAACAAAAGTGTTGTCCGCAGCACCGGAATCGGCGTGTGCAGTCGCGCAGGCGTCGTTCAAGGCAGCGAAAACACCCGGAGGGCGCTTGTCCTCGATCAAGGAACACACGACCTTGTTGTCAAAGTACTTGATCGGAGTCCACTTAATCTGCTCACGGGCATATTCATCCTGCTCTGCCTTCAAGGTCAATTGAATAAAGATTTGCTGTAACTTCTCGTTGACGTAGTTGATGCACAGTTGTTCGAACGAGTTCTTTTCGAAAATCTCGAATCCGTAAATATCTAAAATACCGATCGAGTTGGTGATTGCTCCTCGGGCAGTCAAAGATTGGTTGATGCGCTCCACGATCCAGTCGAAGAGGTTGAAGTAGATGGCCTTGGCCAAAGCGTCACGCACGGCCGATGCCTGAGTCCGGTTCAGCGGCACCTCGTAAACGGAACCTCTGCGCCCTCCGCGGGCAGTCTCCATCAGACGGATCGTCAAGGCCTTGTTCACCTGAGCGGCGTCCACCTCCAACAGGTAAGCGACAAAGTCGACGGTCGACTGATCTGAGATGGCCGCATTTCCTGAGTCGTCCTCGGCGAATTGAATATTACCGATCCACAAAATCGCGGATAGCATGCGGAAGACATTATCCTGCTCCGGCTCGGTCATACCGATCACCCGCATCGCATCCAAGGTATCCTTAAATTCAGCAACATCGTCGATTCCTGGCACATCGTAACACTTGGAACGGCTGGTATAGAGGTAGGACTGCGGTTGTTGCACACCGAAGGTATCCCGGTATTTCTGCGGCGCTCCCTTGGTGAATTGGTAAAAGATGTGGAAGTTTCGCTCATTTTGAATCTGCCCAACAACACGGGTCTTCTCCAGCAGATAGTTGGTGATGTTAGCACCGACCGGCTCGCCGTTGGTGTTAAACTCGAGTTCCAGGTACTTTCCGAATCGGGAGGAGTTGTTGTTGCGGAGGGTTTTGGCGTTACCAAAGGATTCTAGCAAAGGGTTTGTGGCCAGCACCATGTCCTTGGTCTGCTGGATAGATGAATCGCTGCCACCGGAGACACTGGCAATATATTGCATAATGCGCTTGGCGGCCTCTGTCTTTCCGGCACCGGATTCACCGGAGATAATGACACACTGGTTGTCCTTGTAGGACTTCATGTTATAGTATGCGGATTCGGCGACTCCGAATACATGGGGAGGGACTTCGAGTCGGTTCTTGCCGCGGTAGGAGTCTAGGACTTTATCGGTGTAAATGCCGACTATATGGAGAGATCATCGGTTAGTGAGGATGTAGCGGGGGCGCAAAGCGCAGGAGAGATTGGGACGGCGCTGAGGTAGCGCATTCCGTCAGAAGTCCGCTGGTGACTTACGGTCTTGAAAGGGATTGACGGAGACCAATACATGTCCAATGTAGGTCTACCAATGACATCGTCAGCGTATACTCTGGGGGCACTTGCAGGGCCCCGGGGAGAGCGGGGGTGTCGCGTGCGTGGAAGACGGGGTCCCTTACATAAATTTCGCCATGCTCGAATCGCAGTTTCAGGTTATCGTTGATCGCCTCGTTGGAGATCTTGCTAAGCAGAGTCAAGTCGGAGACACCAATCTCCTTCTTCTTGGAGGATTCAAAGGCGGCCTTCTTGACCTGACCCTTGCCCGATTGACGGCCATCGCCGACGTCTGCGACAGCTTTGGAACGACCAAAGCGACTCTTCTTTTCCCCGCCTTGGGGACGTCGTGATTGACCCTAGATTGAGCGCGGGGTCAGCGGCAGTCGCAGGTTGGCGGGGATGGGGGGGAGAAGGGGAGGAAGTGAATGGGAGATTGTGGTGAGGAGACTCACCATGTTACCAAGTGATCCGGGGAGTAACGCCCAGGATCAGAAGTAGCAGATGTCTTGAGAATTGAGAGAGAGAAGAGAAGACCGAGTACAGCGTCAGAGTCCAAGTCCAGTCCTCCAAAGTCCAGAGTGTCGGGAAGGCGGACAACCAAACAAACCAACCAAACACTGCGCCACTTTCCACTCCACTTTCACTGCTGCCTTTCAGGGGCAAATCCGTTGGGTTGGGCCTCCACTGACGCGTTGCAGTGGGGATGTCAATTTGAGTATGTATGAAGGAGTCAAGAGAGCCTGATCTACCAGGGACGACAGAGTAATAGATTGGGTATACAGAGTACGAGTACGAAGTAATTAGTAATCACTGTATACCATCCCTAGTATACATACGAGTACACTATGTACTGGCTAGAGCCACAATGTGGCGCGTGCATACAAGAATAGCAGCACCGACGTCATTGGGCATGCACTGCGTAAGCCCGCTTAATCAAACTTTTCTTTCTTTTTTTTCCCATTTTTTTCGTTTTTGCCTAATAGCCAGTCTAGACAGAGGCTATTCCTGGTTCGGTCTGACAATTAGGGTCATACATACAAGTAGTAAAAAATATGACGGTACTGAGCCCACCTTTAGTTAGTCCCCCAGAGCCGCACCCTGAGCAACCGTGGACCCTGATCTCACCCCATAACCCATAGAATATAGAAAAGACCTTGAAAATTTAGTGAATGATGTTCCAAGGTTTTTATGACTTTGAAATATTTATACAAGTTTCCGATGTCTACTCCTTGTCTTTTTAGAATGTTAGCTTTGCATACATGTTGCCCACTGGCTGGCAGGTGTTGATATCATATAGCATCCAAATATAAACCTTGGAAAGATTTTATATTCAAAGTAAAACCTCAGGCTCGATCCCCTCTTGAACTAAATTCCAAAAGTTCGTATCAATCCCCTGTAACGACCACTCCATCATATCCGCAGCGACGTTCGGGAACATCGACGATTCAGTGGGATCGTCGTTCAGGGAGACCATTGTAGAACTCGAAGTCGAAGTAGTCGGAACATCCTGGAAAGCAGATATCTCCTCAGTGGAGAAATAATGTGCCACTTGTGACTCATTTTCATCACGTGTGACATTTAGGTCAGGAACCCATCCCTGTATGCTTGAGGACACCGGTCGTTCAATATTTATCCTAGTCGCATCAAGAACCCACGGTTTAATGGTAATGACTCCGATATAAGGCACATCAAGTTTTATAGGTGGAGTGGTTTGCGGGATCTGATCTCCATGCCCTTCGAATCCGCTCCTTTCAGTCCAAGTAACGATAGGCATTAATCGACTAATAACGTCCGATGTTTCGTGGCAGATAGCATCTTCATTCTCTCTTGCGAGGACTTGGAATCGAGCCTGAACACTCTCCAAAAGACGACTATCCTCTTGCCGCTGGGTCGTTGGCGTATGACCTTCCTCGATGTGGGGCGGTTCGTCCGCTAGATATGCCATCAGCAAGGTCATGGCTCCAATTAGAGCGCTGTGGTCAACATGCCGACAGGCAGACGCTGATGAATTGAGATTGCGATATGGCATAAATAATCGCAAAATCGAGCGACTGGCTGTTGCGCAAATGTCCCGGCTATATCTAAAGCGAGGGTTGTGAGATCGGAGACCAGGTTCGCGCTGGAATAAGTGTGGTAAATGCAGAAAGACCTTCAGTGTGTAGTGGTGGATTTGCAGCAAGGTCTTAGAAATTCTGCTGATCTTTTCAAAGAATGAGCCAACCATGTGTGGGTGAGTTGGCTCCCACCACTCAGTCCCCATCTCCTCAGCTACGGAATCCAATTTGCAGTCGATGAGTTGTGTAGATGCGAATGCTTCGTTACTACTCTTTATTGAATTTCTCTCAATAATGAGCCCAGTAAGAACAGTGTAGTTTCTTTCGAGAGTATCCATGGGCGTATAAGTTTCTGAGTCTGAAAGGTTTGTAAAGGGGTCATCTTTAGTTCCCGGCGGCAGACCAAAGAGGAGTGACAGATAGCGATCAAAGAATGTCACGCGGTGCCATATCCATTCAGAGGAGCTATTAGCACCTGGCGACAACCTTTTATCGAATTTTTGGAGGCGTGCAATCTTCCCATTATCCAAACCGAGGATCTGGGATATGTTCAGAGCTCGACGAACCGTCAGCCAGCTACGTCGCAGATTGCCAGCATTGAGTTGAAAGATCGCCAAAAGCAGAAGACACTCCAAACCCTGGAGTGAAACACAGATATCATCCGTAGAATGAAGAACTTCCGATACTCTGGAAACCACATCCACAGCAGACTTTTTGAGGGACTCTTGAGTTTCGCGGGTGAAAGAACTGCAATCGGGCTGGAGGTGCTGAACGCAGATCATGAGTTTGAAGAGGTGCTTAGCGAGAACTACAGGGTGGCTGTCTTCCGAGGGTCGTATAGCAAGATCCGTTGGTTTCTGAAAATTCCCCTGCAAGATTTCATGCTGAGAGTAGAAAAAGGTTGAGACAAAGTTCGATCCGGGACTTGCTGACACCAGATCGCTCATGACCTGTTGGGATGGGAAAAGATTGAACAATAATTTGCAAACATCTCTGTGTCTCCGGTCTTGAAAGCTAGCTGTAGGTTTGTTGATATTCAATTTTTGGTGGGAAGCCGAGGAGCCCCTAGAGTGCTCATCTAGCATGTCGCGGATACTGAAAATGGCTGCCGTGGGCGTTTCTTCCACTGTCCTGCCAACTAAAATGTCATTGGTAGCTGGAGACTTATAAGACATCGGCAAATCGTTTGTAAACTCGATTGTTGGGGTAGAATGCATTCCGCTCGTTTCCCTGGACTGCCGAATTTCCCCAATCAGGCTCTCCATAGCTGCCTCTAGTCTTTGAAGTCGATCCATGACCTCGCCATCCTGCTGCTGTTTCTGGGGCGGGCGAGAAGTTGTGGGGCTGATGGAGTCCTGACTATAGCAGGAGGTTCCCCTGGCGGTACAGGTAACGCAGACGATGTCATCTGGCTTCGCAAATCGACAGCGTACTTTGCGGCGCCGGCCTGGGAAATGATAAGCGACCGAGTTAAAGATCGATCATATTGCGAACATACATTCTCTGCAACTGTGGGTTCCTTTTCGTACTCCCTTTCTCCGCCCAGTCGGACTCATCGCAGATCCCTGGGACATAATGACGATCCGGGGTCCGGGAAGTTAGGGAATCAGTGACAGTGACACTTGATTCGCAAGTTCGACATATATATGCAACCGCTTTGGTATGGAAAACGTATTCAATTTTTCAGGCCACAGTCAATATTGATCTCCACACAACCGCTTGGTAAAGATGGAGGGACCCAAAGGAGTCAAGTTGGGATTCAAGCCTCACCTTAGGCGGGTGGGGGCGGAATATCACGATTACCAATCAGACGTAACATAACTATAGGACAACATCGTGCAATAGGAAAATAGTGTGCAGTTCATTTCAGATAAAATAGAAGGTAGTAGAGATCGAAAAGTATGGTAGCTAATGAATGAAAATAACGAAGTCTATAAAGGAAACTAAGGAATCAAGAAATGATCTGGTATGGTGCCTTGGCTGTCTCTTGCTATTGCTTAGGATTAACTGGTGGCTACAAGCTTACAAGAGAATCATCATCGTCACTATTCGTAACAGTATTCTAGAACTCGGAATGAAACTTCTCCCCGAAGGATTCCTATTCTAGTTTTGAATTTTTCAGCGCACCCAGAAATGCGAATGGTGTACCAGAGAAGAGCCCACAAAAGAATCAGATACAAGTACTACTAACTATTTCGTCCATTGTTCGCCACTCCATAACTTCCCTGTCGTCCACAAAAAATAATCACGGCCTTTAACAAGCCATATCAAGAAGCTTGGGAGCCTGTAGCCCATCACAGCTCCAACGCCTTTCGACCTGCCGATCGGCACCAACTGCGCCTCGCGTGTATCTTCTGTAAAAATACAATCCTCGCCAGCTTCGGCCTTGGTGGCTCCACCAGAGAGTAGCAAATCCCGCTTGATGTTGGCACAGAGAACTGGCACTGCTTTGAAGATACTATGCACTGTCGGGCGGGCAAAAGACGCAGCGTCACCAATGGCGTACACCCTGATTCCTGCCTTTTCGACACGCAATGTCGATTTGTTCGTCTCAACTCGTCCGTCCGGAGCAAGAAGGGTCTCATCAAGAAATCCGGTATTGGGTGTTGTGCCTGTAGCAGGAATATACAGGTCTGCTTCAAGGATTTGCCCATTATCCAATGTCACCGTCGTAGGAACCGCAATCTGATCGTTCTTGTCCTCGCCTGAATTTGAGGGCTCGACCTTCTTTACTCGGACGTTCTTGATGACGGTCACCCCAACGTTGGCCAAATATTTCTCAGCAGTCTGGGCGATTTCAGAACGAAGTACCGGCAAAATGTTTGGCGTCGAAGTAACGATTTTAATGTCAACTTTGGGCGGACTCGACCTCGAGCTAATCCATCGAGGGACCCCATTCAAATACTCTCCGAGCTCCCCAGCTGTCTCTACCCGGCAGGACCGCCGCCTGCTATCACAATGTTCTTTGCGGTTGGGAGTACTTTTCGTATAGCAGCCCAGCTACTGCGAAGTTGCTGGACATCCTTGTTGAGACCGAGGGCTGGAGATGGAGTAGAAGCGCCCGTGGCAATGATGAGGGCGTGATATTCAATCTCTTCCCCTTCCCCTGATGGTAACTTTATCGATGCCACCCTTTTTGTGTGGTTCACGGCGGCGGTTGTGCCGTGGAGAAATCGAAAGCGACCATCGGGGTACTTATTGAACATTGAGGATATGTCGACGAAAAGCTTCTCTTGAGGGAAAAATTCGTCTGAAACCAAGGCTCGAGGGCAAGCTTGACGACACAAGGCCTGCGATGAAGCGCTCACCAAAATCACCTCATATGTACTTGCCCCGGATAAATTGGGAATAACATTCTTGAGCAAGTAATGCGCAGTAGAGATGCCGCCGTAGGACCCGCCAAGAATTAGAATATTATTTTTGGGGGGAGTCTGGAGGGACATCGGAAATATCAAGATAAAATCGAGTTATTGAGAAAGAATCGCGAGATTTTTATCCATAAGGCCATTAGATAGGAATGTCTAGGGCAATTAATATATGAAGTATACTCGGGCCGAGCTGCGGACGAACTGCCAGAGTAGCCAAAGCCACCCGTCGTTTGTCCGAACTTTCGCAGGTTATTCGGCCGAATTCATCCGAGCACCTACAATGTCGTTACAAATACTCTGGTACCTCTTGGTAGAGTGGGCTCTCACAAGAGCACATTTGAGAAAAAATAAATATCTTGTTTTACAAAGGCCTCATATTTGATGAAGGGACACATGTCTGTTTGAGCAAAATGGCAAACCAATGCTAGTCGCGATCCAGATCAGCAGTTGTGCCCAGGTGAACTCCGCGATTTCCGTACTGTCAGGCCCCAGTAAAGTTAGATACTACTACTAGCTGTACATATACGCGACGGCTTTCCGCTTCCGGGATAATGGAGAGTGCATCTGTGACGACCGGGAAAATCGCAAACACACGTCTTATGGCACTGTGTGATCCTTACCTTCAGGGCGAGATTGGGTCTGGTATTCTTACTGATGCAGCTTACAGTGGACATTATGAAACTGTTCGTTTCTTGCTAGAGACGAAGCTTTTTGAAATCGAATCGCCTACGCAAGCAGCTGGTCGAGGCAATACAAATATTGTGGATCTGCTAATAGAGCATGGGAAGATCCCAACACCAGTCATGTCGGATCCTCTCCAACCCTTGATTAGACCAGTGTTAGGTGATCACTCTTTAATCCTTGAGAAGCTTCAACGTTCTATGGATCTTGATGCTTTTGTGGCACACGACGAAGCTGATCATCATCGAGACCTCCTGATGATCAGTGCTGCATGTGGCTGGAATGGCCTAGTTGAGAAGTTACTTCAACGCGGCTGTTCAACACATCTCTATCACCCATATAAACATCTCTGGACCTGCAGTGGCAAGGAAGTCTAGGCCCCAGGCATCTCCTAGCCCAAAATTCCCTATCACCTTTAGCGTTGGCGGCCCATCGCGGTCATTACGATACTATTGAGCTTCTGCTCAGCCATGAAACCAATAATATTTCTGGCAATATTTAGCATTTGCTGTATGGTTGGGATCCAGTGCCGCTTCTACTAGCAATTGACGGGGGTCACAAACAGATCGTCGAGTTGCTTCTAGACAAAGGTGCGGATCCGAATCATATGACCGATGGCCTTACACCAGTCTTTTTCAAAGCTATCGATCAACCAGAGATTCTTGAGATACTTTTCGATCGAGGAGCAAACCCTCGGCTAAAGGCAGTGACAGATATTTCCTCCCACAGATTCAGAGCATCGATCTTCCTGCACGAACTAGTAGCTCGGAATATCAGCACCATGGAACTTCTACAATACCTATTTTCGGTCGGAGAATTCTCATAGGCCAAGCCCCGTTCTGTACTGTCGTTTCTCCAAGCAGCCGCCTGGGGCGGAGCTTTGATGATGGGATATCTTCTTTTGCTTGGGCTTTATTGTCCAGTTATACAAGGCAGCCTTGCCTCCAAGTTGGTGAAGTTCTGGAAATTGTGCTATATAAAGCAGATACGGCGACTTTGGCTCTTATTTTGACAGCTAGTTGGAAATTTGTCTTGAATCAATGAGGAGTGCGTCATGGCGTTGGTTTGTCAACGAAATGGAGATCTGCTAAAGGTAGCCGCTACCCTCGAGTCTCGATATATTTATGGAACATGGTATTTCAATGGAAATTAAAGAGCAATACAAGTAAAAAACCACTGGTGTAGTTGTTGAATGTGATTCTTGATTTTCTGTGAGGGTTCTGTTATAGTAAAAAGGGGCTCCGAGAAATCCCCGAGGCTGCCGAGCTTATCTGTTATCGTGGTCAAGTTTTATGGAACCCCGGACTTCAACTTGAACTTCAACTTCAACTTCATTCAACCCTGCATATATTTACTAGCACAATGGCAGCCAGGATTTCACGTCACCTGCCATTGCTCAACCGCCGTGGCTGGGCTAGCTTACCCTCCCACGCGACCCCTCGCCTTGTGAACACCAGTGCCCGTTGCGGCTTGGTGACGTCGCGCAACACCCGGAACCTCGCGCCCTGGACAGGCCGCGCAACACCAGCGAAAAGCGTGGCCGTGCCATTGCGATATGCGCATACAGATGCTAGCTCGTCGGGAAGGCCAAAGGCCGTCATTGCGGACGCGACCACGTTCAAAGGATCCAACATCACCGAGAAGCATTGGACGAGCCAGAATTTGCCAGTTGGTACGTTAGCACGGCCCAGGCCGAGCCCTCCTTGATTTGATACTTCGATTCTTCACTATGGTCACCTCGCTAACATTGGAATTCATTAGCGGACCCCTTAATTGAACCGCAAGCTGTCTTGCATTTCCTTGAATTCATCACGTCGGGTATTCTACCAAATGGCAAGAAAACCGCTCTGCCTTTGCTGAACCCCGATGAATTCCCTCTATTCTTGACCCCGAGCTCGCAATGGGCGCCGGCGCCTTTCAACAAAGATGAGACCCTCTCATCCGTGCAAAAGGCCATAAAGCGTATCACGGATGCAGAAGAAGTGACCGGACTGTGCCTTGTTGGTCAGAACATTCAGTTCATCAAAAATCGTCTCTGGGGAGGCCTCGCCCCTGTGCCCGCATCTCGATGGCACGAAAAGGACCTGAACAACCCGGACCACTTCGCAATTGCTCAGGAATATCTGACCTCGGTCATTGCCGTCTTTGAATACCTCAACAACCCTCAAATCCGGTCTAACATGCGCGACACCTTCAACAAGATCTCTGGTGACTTCGGAGAAATGCAGGAAGCCCTGAATGCCCAGCGTAAAGCTGCAGGTGGCGTCTCTCCCGACCTCAACCTAACCGCCCTGTGGGAAGAATACATCCGCTCCGTCTACGAAGTAATGACCACCACCGCACACAGCTGGATCCTAGCCCGAGTCACCGAACTCCGCGCCCGCACCCTAAACAGCTTCAGCGAAATCACAGCCAAGCCCAACGCCGAAGAATCCCCCGAAATGGCCATCTTCTCGCAGCGCTGGAGCGAGCTTCTGTCCGTGACTTCGATGGCTGACTTTAACATCTGGATTTCCATGGAGGGGTACAACGGCTTCAAGACGCCCACCTCGATCGTCGCCGGCCTGCACAATCCCGATCTCCAGAATCAAGCTACCAACTCCGGCTTCTCGGAACTCTTGCTTGAACGTCTTGGTCAGTGTATTAAGCGTCAGAACGAGGCTGCTGGTGTTTCAGGCGAAGGCGCGATCGATAATGACGCGGCTCGCCGTGAACGTCTTTCGATTAGCACACTCGTTCAGGATGAAATACGTGAAAAGATTCGTGGGCCGAAACCCTCGCCCCGGCCACCTGTGCAGCCTTGGATCCAACAACATCTTCGCGCTTATGAGATGCTATCGAGCGGGTTGCAGCCTGGGCAGGAACCCGGCTTTGGGTTTGGATTGGCGATTTACCGTGCAGCGCATAGAAATGTCTCCGATGAACAGTGGAACAAACTGAAGCAGGATTTGGAAACTCAATTCTCGGCATGGGGTGAGGAGGTCGAGCGTGCCGATGAGCTTAAGCCTCTTCTGAAGTTGCATTGGTTCGATTGCAAGGAATTGGGCTTCGACGCGGCTAACTCCATAACTGAAGCGAGAAGGTTCGTTGGTTTCTGAAATACCCTCCCCCTCCTCTGAGTAATAAGCTAGTCTGGCTAACTAATCCCTTTTTTACCTCCTTCTAGCCACTTCCAACAAATCCGCACCTCAGAAGAATGGAGCCGTAAAATCGCACCATCCTTCTTCCTAGCCATCGACCCCATGGCCGTAGGCTCATACACCGACGAGAACTTCCACCCAACCCCCACCAAGGACGAAGTACTCCTGAAAGGAGATTTCCAGGGCCACGTCCTCGCCATTGACGCAGACTTCGAAGCTCCTGCCCCGACCGATGCGAGCAAGGAAGCAGACCCCACGAAATATACCGGCCAAATGCGCGTTCTGGGAAATCTAGTCTGGAGCGAGATTTACCCTATGCTCATGCTTCAATCTGCCAATCTTGAGACTCTTAATATGCGGGCCCGTGATCATCCGATGAAGGTTTATACGGGTCCTACGGTGCCGAGTCAGGTTGCGCCTTGGAAGGAGAGGATTGCTATGAATGGTGCTATGATGGATAGTTTTGTGGATTATTTGAAGGAGAAGAATCCCGATCTTGCGGGGAAGGTTGAGGGGATGAAGGGGCAGGGGATTCTTTGATTGGAAGATTTGAACTGTGAGGATGGCCTTTTGTAAGGTTGTCATTTTGATAGAATGTACTATATTGTATTATTGGGCTCTCTTGTATGTGGTTTGAAATACACTCTTCGGGCATACTTGTCTCTATGTATATTTGCGGAGAGAGACTAAAGTCGGCTACAGATAGGCACGTATGTAGCTACATCTACATCTACATCGAGTATCGGGAATATTTTGATGGCTAAGAAATGAATTTCTAAGATAAGAATAAGAAAAAGACAAGCCGGAGAGGCTTCCCACCGCCGACAAACATAAACATAACTCAAAAAATCCCAGAGAGCAGAAATAAACAGACAAAGCACGCGCAATCTAAAAATCTCACTCGAAAAAATCAAATCTAGAAGAAATCCTTCAAACCCTTTTCCCATCTGCCAGACATAAACATAGACATAGACACAATAACAACAAACTCACGTATCAGCAACGTCGGACGCACACACAATTTCAAAGGTATTCTCAAACCATCAAACACGAAACAGTCCTTGACAACATTGAGCTCCCACTTCTCGCTTCTTTTCAATCTTCGTATCAGTTTTGTGCCCATCTAAATGACAGGCGCAACAGTATGAATAAGTTGCCTAAGACGACTCGCCGTAGAGCGACCCAAGATCTGCCGGGCCAAAGCCAATGTACCAGGATCATCCAGTGACCGATCGAGGAATTCAATTGCTGCATACAGGTTGCTCGGGAATGAATCGTCCTCGTTGATCGCATTGTCGTTTGAACTTTCTTGGTCCTCTAGCTCAGCCCAGTCGGGTCGAGTAGGTGATAGGTTTGGACGTGAGGGATGTAGATCGCCACTGAGGGAGGCCCGGTGGAGGTATCCAACCAGTTCTTCGTAAAGGTTCGTTGGGTCCTTGATTGGGAGGATTGGGACGTAGTGTGGAAGCATTTCGATCCGGCTGTGGTGAGGAAACGAGTTTTTAGTAAAGACATAGAGGGAGGGAGGAGGTATTAGTGTAAGAGTAACTTACATTTCTTCCAGAGCTGCGATGTTATTGAGAAGACCCGTTCCAGGTATACCTTCCAGAGGATGTTCGATCATAAGGAACGCGATAACCTTTTCAACGACCTGCCCTCGAGCGTCATGCTTATCCCTCCGCACCATAAAATCCTGCATCATACTCCCAGTATTCAGAAGATTTTCAAAGAGCAGACAGTGAGGGCCAATCACAAAGACCTCAAGGATGACGGGTATTTGTTCAGGTTCGGTCTGGGCTTCGGTTTGGCCCTGGCTTGGGCGTCTTCGGAAGTCTGGCCTGGGTGGTACACGAGTCATGAATCGAAAATGAAATGGCTCAATGAGGTTTCCCTCCACTAGAGAGACGTCAGTTTTGAATGTAAAGTGAATCTAGATAGTCTGCTTCTTGTTTAGTTTGCCTACCGTCATTTCTGCCTTGAATGCTATTCGCGGGGATGTAATTCCTCAGGATAGGGTCCTCCAAGTCATTCTGTCCAGGTGGCTCCTGGCGCCCAGGCTGGGGCCGGCACAGAGGTAGGTCCTGGTCGATGGGGGTCTGGATATGCCAAACGACCATTTTGGCGGCGTATCTTTGTTTAACCTTGAAGGATTCAGGGACCCAAATTCGAAGAAATAGTCAAGATAGATTGCTGATCGGTAGGACTCGGAAAGAATCGAACTCAAAGGTGGCATAGAAGGCAGAATAGAGAGAAGTGGGCAGTGGAAAGTGGAAAGTGGAAAGATTGAGACAAATCCAGGTCAAACAGAGGGAAGGTCAGATTGATGAAAACCTGAGCAGAATTTGATTAGATGATAGAAAATGGCGAGCTCGGGTTAGTATGGAAGAGCCAGAGGAAGAGGGAGTATGTGAAGGGGAAGTTGTAATAGACCCGGGACTCGGACTTAGAGTTGCCGGGTGGTACCTACCATTGCTGCCATACCCTACCTATAGTACTATATTGAGTATATTTTTCTAGTTTATACAATACTGTAAGTTCTGGATATAACGTATAGTATATTTAATATATGGTATATTATAAAACTTATCTCAGATGTAAGCAAAGAGAACACCGTTTTCTGCGGAATATAATTAGTAACAGAGCCCGGAGATAGTTCTAGTATAGACCAGACAACTTCGACCACTTAACCATGAAAAATCCAGGCCTGTAAAAGAATCCAGGAAATAAGAGTAATAGAAAGATAATCTATAATCAATTAAGAATGGTCTATGTACGATCCATAACAAAATATCTCAAAAGTATGAGTGGAGGGTATCAACACAAAATCGCGGGTCTATCCGCCAAACAAAACAACTCAAAAACACCCGGCGCGCTATGTATATATCGAAGGAGAGCGGAGAATCTATTTACTCCTCGGTTGTTGGTGGAAGAGGAGATTATTTTTTGGGAATAGAAACAGTGGACGAGGCAGTGGGAGGCGCGGTAGCTTTCAAGACCTCAGTCTTAGACTCGGTCGTCTCTTCTGGCTTCACCACCGCAGCTGTCGTCTGTTGAGAGATGGTCGGTTCTTGGCCGAAAGCAATGTACGACGTAAGTCGCGTCCATAGGCTGTTTTCAGGCTGGGCCTTAGGTGGATCCTCTGGAACATCCAGTTTGCCATGCTTCTCCTCGTAGAGAGAAAGCTTCTTCTCCAGCGCATTGAGACGATCTTCCACCCCTTCACGGCGCGTACTCTCTTTATTCCGCGATCGCCAGGATTCAAACACAATCAACCCACCCGCCACGAGGAACAGAAAACTTTCGCTAATAAAGTTGGCACCGGACTCGATGGCCTTGGACTGGGAGAGGGGTCGGATTCGGTAGTGGTGCGGTTTGGCGGCCTCTTCAGCCGCAGCTTTGGCCTTGTCTAATGCATCTTGCTCGGCTTTCGTCGCGGCTTCGGTCTTAACTGTCGGGCTTTTGGCGAGGTGCTTTTTGGCTTCGGCTTCGGCAGCGGCTTGTTTTCGGGACGCGGTGGTGTCGCGGATGGATCCTAGTCGAAGGCGCATGTCGAAGCGGTGTAGGGCTTGGGCCATTGAGACACAGACATTGCGGAAGCGCTCATGTTCGCGAGCTTGGCCCTTGATTTGATTCTGCCGGTGGCTGTTAGCTTGGAGCTTGGCGAGGAGGGGAAGTGTCAAGGGGCGAGTTCGGGGGACAGGCTCACGGCGATAGGTTTGGAGAGGGTACGGATGACCAACGAGGATATCTTGAGAGTGAGCGACATGGCGAGTCTATAGGAGTAGTAGTCGGGAGTGAAACTTGAAATTGAAGCTGACAATTTGAGTCACGGCTGTGACGTTGTCAACTCAGGAACGGGTGAGTCAGCAGATCACAGCCTCCTCTCCACTATTAAAGCTACTATAGTAATTAGTGGCAGTCGATTCTATTTTTATGTAAAGTAGCATGAAATACGTAGATTAGGAGATTTGAAGGATATTTAACGCAATTAATGAATATGCGTTAAATATGTATTTGGTACTACTAGTAGGGGTTGAATACGAATATCTCAAGATAACTAGTATTGTTACTTACTATAGGTGGGCCAAGCTATTATAGAGAGATTTCACATACTTGGCAGCTTTCAGCCAAAAGAACCTTGGAACTCTTCTCAACCCGAAAAAAAGTAGAAACTTATTTTAGCCCCTATGTAGTTCATCTACTAGTATCAAGATTGAAAAGTTTACCTTCCGATCCGCTGTCCTCAGATGCAACTATATCGGGCTCAACGTATTTGAAATCAACTTCTTGAAAATGGAATCTGGCGTCCACAAATTTCGTTTCCCAGATCTTCAGCCTGATAATCCTCACAAAGCAAAAACTGGAGAATGAAAGTTAATCCAAAAATTTTGGGTACATGGTGGCAGGCGTGTCATGATGCTGTTGGCACTGTAGTACTATATCTTGCCTTTTCGAACTCCTACTAGTACTGGGCAGCGAAACTCATTCTCGCCTATCGTGGAAAATTATCTATTACTAATACTAGTACTATCTCCGAGCTATATGGGGTAGTTACTAGTACCTCTGTGCTAGTGGTGGTGGTACTCCAGGACTAGTAGTACCTAGGTAGGTACTATTACATTCCAAGCCCTCATATATATTTTCTTAAGATGATCGGCACTATTTCCCGAGGTCAAGAGTCTTTCGGGTAATAGGTAATGCAGGACTTTTCATGGTAGTCTCAAGTTTCACCCTAAAGAGCATATCTGGCAGGAAGACTCAAAATATCATCTCCGAGTCCGAGTCTCTTACCCCAGGCCTCCAAGCTGGAGGCGCCACAATGCGAATTTAAATGTGGGGATGAAATGTAAACTGCCTCCCGAGGACCGTTGGTATGGAATTTGGCTTCGTAATTGATTTTTCTGACCTCCTTTTCGAGTGGGTTCAGTAAAAAGTATATAAAGCTCGCTTTATTTATTTTCTTTGTTTAATCCAATAAATTATGGCAATAATTGTACTCGTACTGTAGTGATACTTTTCTTTGTTGTAACTAGGGCACTGTTGACACCATCACGTGACTGTTACTGTTTATCGATTTCCCAAAGGGGAAATCTATTATGGCCCGAGTTCTTCTCTTCCACTTCAACTTCACTCCCCGCTTTCACCTCCCCGGCTTTGCGCTGTCTGGCTTCGCAGCAGCTTTGTACAGTTTTTGTTTTATTTAGCGCTTTGCATTCTGGTACTTCAAGTCCTCGAGGTCCCCTTCTTACCATCCATTCTCTCCGGTCCTCATCGGCCTCGGTTTGCCGACCGGAGTTAGCTGCTCATCATTAACGGATCGTTGCAGGGATACCAATCTGCACCACCCAATACTGATACCCCCTTTGCGGCTCCGCCTAATACCTCGATTCTTTTCATGACTTTGACGCTTAATATCCGTTTTATTAAACAAAAAGTTCTATTGCCCCTGGCCCCGAGAACCCGATTGCGACGGTCCTAATATCGTCGCGTGACGCTGGCCAACCCGACGCAAGTTTCATAATGGAGGCTCTTTCCCCGCGCTCGACAAACCAGATGATTCGGCCCAAACCTATCCCTGAGCGCAAAATGACCGACAAGAATGCCGCGGCTGGTCCCGTGCAGAAATCCTCGTCTTCCAAGAACCATGCCGACCCGCCTCCATCTTTCGTACCGGAACCGGAGGAGGGTGGAGAGCGATACTCGATCGGTGGATTTTTGGGGAAAGAGGGGTTTGCAGTTTGCTATGAAGGGACACTCGCTCGGAATGGTCGGCTGTTTGCCATGAAAGTGGTTAAGTCACAAATGCCCCAGAAAAAGATGGAGGAGAAGGTACACAACCCATGACGCTGCGTTGAGTCAATTATTTTTGCGCTGACAATATCTAGTTTCGAACAGAGCTTCAAATCCATTCGAAAATGCGCCATCCCTTTATCGTTCAATTCTACCGAGCCTTTGCATTCGAGCAAAGCACCTACGTTGTTCTAGAGCTATGTCCGAACGGATCAGTCATGGATATGGTGAAGAAACGACGGTCCCTCACACTACCCGAAGTGCGACGGTTCATGATTCAACTCTGCGCTGCTGTTAAATACCTCCACAAACGATTTGTCGCTCATCGCGACCTGAAAATGGGGAACCTGTTTCTTGATCACAATATGAACATCAAAGTTGGAGACTTTGGACTGGCGGCAATGATTTTATCGGATAAAGACGCAAAGCGACGAAACACCCTATGTGGTACACCCAATTATATTGCACCGGAGATCCTTGATAAGAGCAAAGGTGGACATACCCAGAAAGTCGACATTTGGTCCTTGGGTGTCATCTTGTAAGAAAGTCCTCCCACGCTATATGTTGAATTCAGCTGACTCAAGGTCCCCTAGTTTTGCCATGTTAACTGGCTATCCCCCTTTCCAATCGAAAACACAAGAGGAGATTTACAAGAAAGTACGGAGTTTGGCATATGTCTGG